TGGCATGTGGTGCTGGGGGATTGAACCGCGGTCCCTGATGCTTTGCTAAGCTTGTTCCAAGTAGGTGCTTTAGACCACTGAGCCATCTCTCCAGCCCCTAAGCCCGTCTTTAGTTGGTGTATTTCAAGTAAAGCGGAAAGTAACGCATGCACGGTGGGCCCTCTGGAGCCCCGTCAGGTCCTTCGGCCACGTTTATTTCAGATAATTTATTTTCAAAGAAATAGCAGTAGTCACCAGAGCCCCGGCGTCTCCCCCCACCAGGTGAAAATGTCGCCCAGGGGCAGGTTCTCGTCCGTCTGTTCAGAGCCACGGACAGCGCGAGGTGTTCTCACTTTCGGAGCTCTGTCCAGGTGGCCTCTGCACACATCTTTCTGCACGGCTTTCATCCTGCAGTGCTTTTGAGAATGCTCCAAGGTGACGCAAGGGGCCGCGCTCATCTGCTCAGATTCTGGGTGAATAGACCGCTGTCTGCCCGCCCGCCCACCCGCCCGCCTTGGCTGCTGCCGCTGCCGGATATCACTGGTTCCCAGATCTTGGCAGCTGCCCGAGTCCCCGCCAATCCCTCCTGCACTGTCTCCCGGGCCATGTGCGCCTTCTCCAGCCCAGGAAAATCACCCTACAGAGTGTGGGTGCAATGTCCCCCCCTCCCTGGATTCTCGCCACGATCGGGTTTAATCCCACTTAAATTTGTCTCAACCTGCCAGCTGTGTGCAATAGCGGCTCATTAGGGCTTTTTATTTTTAAATAATTTAATTTTTTTTTTTTTTTTTGAAGTGCTGGGGATTGAGGTTTAATGCATTTCGTTAGCAAACTCAGCGGAATAGCACAGAAGACGGACAACAATGGAAGTGTGTGCATGCATGTCGGGAGGGCCAGCTAGAAAAGGACGGTGGCTGCGCGGTCGCTCCCGCTGGACAGAAACGCCGTAAACGCCCCTTGTTGTGGTCACTGAGACACTGCCTTGTTGTGAAACAAAATTCACATGCTGGCAGCGTCCACAAAAATGAGGCCGACTTAGTTCCATTTTGTTTACAAAGCTGAAGTGCTGAGATTTGCGCAGACACACATTTTGCTGGACAGTAAGTGCCTGTACCGCCCTGAATTTGTGTTAGAAGTCCATTTGCGGCTGCTTGGTGCTCACCTTTAGTCCCGGTTATTTGGGAGGCTGAGGCAGGAGGATTGCACGGTTGAGATGAGGCTGGGCAAGTTGGCCAGACCTGTCTAACCCAACCCAACCCAAACAAACCGCCAAGCACATAGGCCTCACCGGCCTGCTGCGGAGCGCAAGATGGGCACTGATCTCTCGTGAAGCCCCGAGCGGCTTCCACAGGCGCTGGAATGGGCATTTGCCAGCCAGTTCAGCGGCCTCGTCCTAGCTGTGGGCCCTGGTGCCCGGCAGGCCTGGGTTTCTGCCCCTCCAGTAGAGTGTGTGTTCTTGCGTGTGGCTTTTGAGCTTGGCCTCTGATGACCATGGTGGTGTGGTGGCTGTGAGCGCAGCTCCTGTTGTGGTGGTTATTTGCATCTGCTGGGCCACTAATGAGGTTGGGCATCTTCTCACCCACGCACCGGCCACTTGAGGTGTTGTTCTTGGGCTGAGGATGCTGAGGATGCTGCTTAGTGGCAGCGTTGAGGACATTCACGTTTCTCCCCTTTGGTTACACAGAGGAGGTGTTCTGTGTATGCTGTCCTGATTTTTGCTGTGTCCTTTCATCATTTTTTTTTTTTTTACAAAGCACTTCAACTTTGTAAACAAAATGGAACTAAGTCTGCCTCATTTTTCTGGACAACGCCAGCATGTGAATTTTGTTTCACAACAGGGAAGGGTTTATAGAGTGTTCAGGATCTCACTACTAGATCTGATTTGTAGTGATCTGCCTGTTTACAGCCTTCCAAGAGCTGGGATTATGGGCACATGCCACCACGCCCAGTCTCAGTTGCCATCTCAGTAGGCCCAGAGGGTGGTGCCAGCACAACAGGCTTGGGGATTGAACCCCTGGCCCCGAGCTCCTTTGCAGGTCCTTTAATCTGATGAGCTATTTGGCCAGCCCTTCCTTTCATCATCTTACTGTGGACCTGTTCTCCTCCAGAGGTTTGTGTGCTGGGGATGGAACTCAGGGCCCAGTGCATGCTGGGTAGTGCTCACCAGGAGCCACCCCCCTAGGAGATCTGTCTGTCTCTGTCTCTGTCTCTGTTTGTCTCTGTCTCTCTGTCTGTCTCTGTCTGTTTCTCTGTCTGTCTCTGTCTCTCTGTCTCTCTCTCATTTTCTTTTTGTACCAGGAATCGAACTTGGGATGTTGTGCTCACCAGGCATGCACTTGTGCTGCTGAGCTATCCCCAGCTGGTATCTCTATATTCATGTGTATATGTTCAAAATCATTGTCTTTAAGAGCCAGGCATGGTAGCACATGCCTGTAATCCAGCACTCGGGAGGCTGAGGCTGAACATTGTGAGTTTGAGAGCAGCCTGGGCTACAAAGTGAGCTCAAGGCCAGCCTGAACTGCATATCGAGACCCTGTCTCAACCAGGAAAAAAAAAAAAATCTGTCTTTAGAATAGTTCATTTTAGTTCCATATCTTGGGCAGTTGTTAAAAGTAACATTTCCACACATTCCAAAGTTTTTTTTCTTTTAATTTACTTATTTGATACAGGGTCTTGCCACACAGCTTAGACTCATAGCGACCCTCCTGTCTCAGCCTCCCGAGCGCTGGGATTACAGGTGTGCGCCACCATGCCTGGTTTTGGGGCCAGCATGGCATGCAGTACCAGGGATTGAACTCGGAACCTTGTGCTTGCCAGGCAGGCACTTCGGACTGCCGAGCTATCTTCCCAGCCCCACATTCCAGAGTGTTAAACACACGAAAACATTATTTATTTTGAGGTAGGATCTCAGAGGGTATCCCAGGCTGGCCTTGAATTCACAGCAATCCTTCTGCTTCAGACTTGCAATCCATGGGATTACTGGTGTGTGCTACCAGGCCCAGCAAAAAATTCCTTAGTTGTAATCATTGGCGTAGATAGTGGCTGTGGCGTGGCCTACAGCACAGCGTGAGGTCACCCTCGTGGGTGCACAGGTCGGGGCACGGAGTCCGTTGCTCCAGGCAGCTGTCACCACCACCCACCCACGGATGCTTTTTCCTTTTTTTGTTTCCAATACTGAGACTTGAACCCGAGGCCTTGGCTCTTCTTGTTTTTTTTTTTTTTTTTGAGACAGTCTCTCACTGAGCCGTCCAGTTGGTATTCGAACTCCAACCCTTCTGCTCCGGCCTCCCGAGTGCTGGGATGACAGGCGAGTGCCCCTGAGGGCAGACCCTGCACTTTTCCTGTCTTGTAAAACTGAAACGCTGTACTCATCGCCGGGCGGCTTTGGCTCCTCCCTCCCCCGGGCCCTGACAGTCTTTCCATTTCTGTGCACCTGGCCACTTGGGGACCCTGGTGTAAGTGGGCTCGTGCAGAATTTGTCCTCGGTTCCTGGCTGACATCAGTGCCGTGTCTCTGTGGCCTGTTCACGTGGAGGCCCGTGTCAGTCTCTCCTTTGTGGCTGTGTGGCACCTATGGCTCATTTCTCCGGTGTCCTCTGGGTGGCCCTGTAGGCTGCTTCCCATCTTAGAGCTTCCCCTTGCACGCAGGTGCCAGAGCTCGGCCCGCAGGGGCTGGGACTCTCATCCGGGTCCCTCCCTGTCCTGATCCCCCCAAAGCATCCTATTGCTGCTGTCAGTGCTCTGCTGTCACCTTTATAAACCTGGGTGTCCCTGTTACCCCTTTTAAAAATGCTTCTTCCAAGGAGACTGGGTGTTGTTCATGGGTGGAATACTTGCCTAATATGTGCAAGGCCCTTGGTTTGGTACTCAGAGCCATCAAAACAGAGCAAAACACCCCCAAATGCTAGCCTCAGGTCAGGCCTGCCCAGATCTGTCCCCAGCCCCGGAGGTTGCACCGTTCCCAGCTCCTCCCCCACAGGTGACTCTGAGCAGTGGCAGTGGGCTTAGCAATGTCCCCGGCAGGCACAGCACGGGTGAGTGTACATTCACTGTTTCGAAGCGGGTAGCCTCCTGCCTGCAGCCTTGCAGGCCTGGGCCCCGGCTGCAGCCCTGCTCGCCCACGAGCCACCGTCCTTTGTGCCAGCCCTTGGCTGCTTCTGTCGTGTGTGGCCCGGGATCCTTCTGCTGCATGTGGCCTGGTCTCTGGCTTCTGACAGGCCTGGGCCTAGGCAGATCCCTTTCGTGGGGCTCTCCTGGCTGGGAAAAGATCAGGTTGGAGCGTGTGAATGGCGCTTGGGATTGTCATTTCATTCATTTTTTTTTTTTTTTTTGTTTACTCTGGCTCTTCTTCTCAAATATGTCCATTGAGTTTGTTTTTTTTTTTAAAGAAAGCATTTTTTTATTTTTTATTTTTTATTTATTTATTTATTTTAGTGTGTGGCCAGTTCAGCCCACCAGGGGCGGGGCTGGCTGGCATGTGGTGCTGGGGATTGAACCGCGGTCCCTGTGCTTTTGCTTAGCTTGATTCTAAGTAGGTGCTTTAGACCACTGAGCCATCTCACCAGCCCTGTCCATTGAGTTTTCAAAGCCTTTGAGTTGTCGAAACCTTTTTATTTCTAGAAATTTCACCTGGTCCTGGTGTCTTTTTAGTCTGTGGTTACTTTTCACAGTGACTGCCCTGGGCAGGGAACCACATGCTTTTCTGTACCTGGTGGAAGCGGGGAAGGCCAGGTGTGGGTGTTTCTGGGGTGTCTGTCTTCGCAGGCCCAGAGCCTCTGGCTGCTGACTGGTCTCTGCCTAAGTCGGTCATGGGTGGAGGCCAGCCAGGAGACCCCTGTAGCCTGCATCTCCCCTGCCCAGCCCTGGGCACCTCCTGTCCCCGCCACCTATAGCTGAGCTCAAGTTTGGGGTTTCATCCAGGGAATCCCCACCTGGCTCAGCACCCACAGGGGCAGCCGTGCCGGGAAGTACATGCTGTGGAAAGATTGAGTCAGCAGTAGCCAGGAGCTCAGGAGAAGAAAGGAAACGTTATTCACGCCAGTGGTTCCCAGAGGAATATTCTCCAGAGTCTGAGGTGCTGACTACAGAGAGCGTGCCTTACCGGGTGGCAGGCGGGCATTACAGAAATCTGAGCTCAGCATGGCTGCAGGCCGTGGTGCTGTGGGGTCCTGCGGCGGGCACAGCTGCGTGCAGCTGTCGCTGTCTGGTTGGGTCAGTCCACAGAGGGTGGCTGGCCGTGGTTCTCCTCAGAGCCCACCACCACGGCATGGAGAGCTCTGTGCTTCCTGGCTGGTCAGGGTGAAGAGCGGGGTCCCTGCGGGAGGTGGGGGAGACCGGGCAGCGTCCCGCTCTGCTCCTCCCTGGTCTGGGTTAGGGCTGGAGTGAACGCTGGCACGGACCCAAGATGCCATGAGACGCTGTGCTTGGGATGAAATAAGGAAAAATAGGATTTTAAGAAGAAACTAACATCCAGGCATGGTGGTGCATACCTGCAATCCCAGTACTTAGGGCGCTGAGGCAGGAGGATCTCTGAATTCAAGGCCAGCGTGAACTGTAGAACAAGGCCCTATCTAAAAACAAAAGCAACCCTCAAATGACAGCAGTAACAACAGCATAACTGAAAAGAAAAGAAACTGCCTCCTTGAGAAGTGTTGAGGGCTGGCTGAGCTCCGAGGCGGAGCCCTTGCCCGGTGTCAGGCCCTGGGTTCAGCCCCAGCACTGACCAATGAAGAGGTGAACGCCGGCACAGCCAGAGAGAGGGCCCGGTGTGAGAGCTAGACACCGGCCACTGAGTCACAGCCGTGCGTGTGTGTGCAGTGTCAGCTTTCTACGTCAGAAGGAATAGAGCAGCACAGGACAGGACGCCTCCCGGTGGGGGCGAACAGTGCGTCCGTTTCCCTCTGCCACGCTGCTCTGCCTCCCTCGAGAGTGCAGGGTCCGAGGAGGCCTCGTCCCAGCATCTGTGCTTGCTGGCATCTTGCTGGGCCCAGCGCTGTGCCCACAGGTGCCCCCTGCAGGGATCTGGGCAGGTGTCAGGCGCCACGAGGACGCTCCCTAGCTACAGGGGTCTGGCTCCCCTGTCCTCCTTAAGTGCCAGTGTTGCCTGCTGCTAGGACAGTGGAATGTCCCCATGGCTGTGTTCCTGGCACTCTGTTGGCGACCATGGCGGTGACAGCCGCATGGTGACAGGAGGTTCCTCAGCTGCGTGCGGAGGGCTCAGCAGACCTTAGAAAGACAGATTCTCTCCAGCTGATGCTTAAGGGCACCTGCTCATGCTGGGTGGGAGAAGGGCCGGGTGGGTGGCCCTGGCGGCGTAGTCTCCCTTCCTTCTGGGAAAGCTGTCTTCGGGCCTTCTGCTCCTCTGGTTTTACCTCTCGTGGGCATTGGTTGGGAACTGCATCCTCTTTGGTTCCCAGGGGGCAGAAGGCCAGCTTTGATCACCGGAGGGACACAGCCTTCCTCTAGGGAAAGGAGAAGGGGCCAGCTCTGTGCTCAAGTTTGAATCCTCCCACGCCGTGATGGAGCGCGCGCTGTGCACGGTGCGGCCAGGCCAGCCCTTCACTGAGGCTGCACGCTGCTGCGTGTCCCAGAGGAGGGACTCCTCACTGTGCCTCCCCTTGATAAACAGAAAACTGGGCAGCCTTCCTGGCATTCAGCGTGTGGAAACGATAGGCGTCTGCTCTCCTTGCCAAACACAATCGCAGTAGTGAGCTTGTTTCTGGGATTCTGATGGCACTGCCGGTCTTCAAGGGCTGAGATGGGTGAATTCCCTCCTGAGTCTCAGAGCAGAGCCAGAACCCGCTTACTCGTGTTGGGGTAGGGCTGGGGCCATGTTATTTCAGGGGGCACAAGCCCCAGTTGACCTGTCCCTTGGAGTGTCCCCTCCAGGGGATGGGGGCTACCTGGGGAGGAGGGGATGGAATTCCCTATAGAAGCTTGACAGGAACAGGGCATGGGGTGTGGCCCCAGGAGCCACAAGCCCCTGGGCACCCCTGTGGGGCCACCGCTGAGGCCAGGCCTGGAGCTCTCTTACCTGCTCTGGGGACTCCTTCCCACCTGGCACAGTGCAGGAGGCTCCACTTCCTCCTTTGCCCCTTGTTGGGGCAGGGGCCGGAGCTGGGGGTGACACGACCGTCCTCCGCCTGCCCTGCAGACTGCCTCTTCAAGGTGTGCCCCATGAACCGCTACTCGGCCCAGAAGCAGTACTGGAAGGCCAAGCAGAGCAAGCAGGACAAGGAGAAGATCGCAGACGTGGTGCTGCTGCAGAAGCTGCAGGTGTGTGTGCGTGTTGGTACAGATGTGTGCCTGTACAGTGGGGCCATGGCTGCGATGAGTGGTCTCCAAAACGCGGGCGCAGCGCTTGGGAGGCTGAGGCAGTAGGCCCGCTGAGCATTGGAGGCCAGCCTGCGGTACACAGCAAGACCCTGTCTCAACCCCCCTCCAGAAAAGAACAAAACAACAACCCATTGTGACAGACTGCAGTGAGTGCCAGCAGGCGGGGATGAGTGCCCTCTCGGTGACCCCTTAACCAAAATCTTGGGGCTCTTTCCTTGGGATGCGACACAGGGTCTCTTGGTGGAATGTGGACGCCACGGTGCAGTGGGCCACATGGACAACTGTACATGGGTTTAGTCGTGGCTCCTGGGGACCCAGTCTTAAACCCCTCCAGGCCCAGGTCTGGCTCACCTTGGGTTTCTCTGCCCCTGTGTGGCACCGTGGTGCTGGCTGCGGCCTTGCTCCCGGCCACTGGGCAGTGGCCAGGCACGTGTCCTGGTGGCCCCAGCTCTGGTGCCATGGTGAGGAGTCCAGGAGGCTCTGGCTGTGGTCTGCAGCGCGCAGACCCTCTGGGCCCGGACCCCAGCTGGTCACGCAGACCTTCTCTCTTTTGCCCTGCACTCCAGGAGGTGGGGCCCACACAGGGCAGGGGTCCCTGCACTGTGGCTGAGAGCTGGGCTTGAAAGTGGGGCCACAGACCAGTGAGGACCCTGGGCTGGGAAAGGAGCAGCTGCTCCGGGGTGCCAGCGCTACAGAGGCAGAGCGCCTGTCCTCTGCTGATCCCACGAGGAGAAATGCTTCAGGCAGTGTCGTCCTGTGGGAAGCAGGTCCTGGAGGCCACCACAGTGGGTGCGGCTGGACCCCCCAGCTCCCCAGGCAGGGGCTGACAGTGGCCACAGCTTTGGGAGGGCTGCAGGGGAGGCAGGAAAGGCATCCTTCCGCTCCCCACTATGGGGTTCAGGCTGGAATGTGGGGTGCGCCCCTCCCGGCTGGGCCAGGTTTGGGGCAAGGGCTGTGGTCTCCAGGGGCCCCCTCTTGCACCGAGGCTGGGGTCCTGGCATGTGGGGACGTCCCTGCCAGCGGCTTTCACCTCCTTCCCTGTGTGTCCAGCATGCAGCCCAGATGGAGCGGAAGCAGAACGACACAGAGAACAAGAAGGTGCACGGGGATGTCGTGAAGTACGGCAGCGTGATCCAGGTGCGGCTGCGTCTCCGCCCCGCCTCGGCGGCACTCTGCGCGCATGCGCGGTGTCCCCGTGGGTGGCCCGGCTGCCCCTGCGTGTGTCTGGCGCAGTGTGTGGCCCGAGCAGCTGTGGATTCCAAACTTGGCCCTGCCTCTCGGGTGGTGCGACCGTGGGCAAGTTACTGTCTTCTTGTGCTGCAGTTTCCCCTTCTGAAATGCAGCCAGGGGCCGCGTGGGCCCTGGAGCCCAAGCTTCCCTGAGCTTCCCTGGGTGGATGCAGGCGAGGGCGCCGCGACTGTCGCCATCTGCTCCCAGGTCCTCCGTGTCGCCTCCCCAAGGGAGCCCTAGTGAGTGACTTCCTCCCACCCTTCCAGCTCTTGCACATGAAGAGCAACAAGTATCTGACGGTGAACAAGCGCCTCCCTGCGCTGCTGGAGAAAAATGCCATGCGGGTGACGCTCGATGCTACCGGCAACGAGGGCTCCTGGCTCTTTATCCAGCCCTTCTGGAAGCTGCGCAGCAACGGAGACAACGTGAGCGGCAACCGGGTGGGAGGGCAGCAGGAGGCCCAGGGCCCGCCTCAGGGTGCCCTCTGGCCGGGACAAGGCCGCTTCCTAGAAGGGCAGGCAGAGTCTGTCAGGGTGGCCCGCGCCTGCAATCCCGGTCGCACCGGAGGCAGAGGCAGCCAGTGCGGTATGGTGAGACCACTTCTCAGAGTAAATGAGGAGAGGCTGTTGCTCAGTGGTAGGGCACTTGCCAGACTCTGCGAGGCCCTGCGTTCACCCCCAGGACCAACAGGCCGCACCCCGCCCTGCCCTAATGCTCCTTGCTGTCACCCTGCGCCTCCCCAAAGGTCGTCGTTGGGGACAAGGTGATCCTGAACCCCGTGAATGCAGGGCAGCCTCTGCACGCCAGCAGCTACGAGCTCAGTGACAATGCGGGCTGCAAGGAGGTGAGGCTCTAGGGGCCTGGCCCTGGGTCTGAGACGCGGTCAGGCGTCTGGGCTTGGGTGGCCCAACCCCCTCTGCTTTGGCACCTGAGCCTCCCGGCTGTGGGCAGCCCAGCCTCATGCATGCTGCCCCCTGCAGGTCAACTCTGTGAACTGCAACACCAGCTGGAAGATCAACCTGTTCATGCAGTTCCGGGACCACCTGGAGGAGGTGTTGAAGGGGGTAAGGAAGAGACCCTTCCCCGGCCCCCACATCCTGCCCCTTCCCTGTGCCTTGGCTTAGGGGCCTCAGGGCTTCCCATCCTCGGCTTCAGGGTGGCCCAGACCCTTTAAACACCAGCTGTGCCTCCTCGATCTCAGAGTCTGCATGTGCGCCCCAGCAGAGCCCAGCTTGCGCCCCACCCAGAACTCCCGCTGCACATGCTAGGATGGGTGGCCCGGGCCTAACCCTGTGCTAACCGGGAGTCTGCGCTCACCTGCCCTGCGTGGGCACAGATGTCCTGCCTGAGCACCAGGCTGTGTGCCCACCCCCGTGTCCACTGCATGAGACTCAGGGGGGTCCAGTGCCGCTCTGCCGGAGGAAGTGTGGAGGAGAGATGAAGGCATGGGCCCTGAAACTGAGGCGGGGCCTCGTGGACCCTCACCCCAGCCACGGGACTCTTGGCAGAATCCCTGCCTTATCTGTGTTGGGACCCATTGTTGGGTGGGCGAGGAGGGTGCGGTGGCCTCGCGGTGCAGGCTCAGGGCAGAGCAGGCCTTCTTAGATGTGTTATGTGCGGTCTCCGGGCTTCCGCCAGGAGGTAGAGAGGTCTCGTCCTGCAGAAGAGGTAGCTGAGACTCAGATCAGAGTCCACCCAGCTTGGAAAAGGGAATCTGAGGTCTGAACTTGGACCTGGTGTCTAGGCTGCGGCGATGCATCAGCTCCAGGGGAGCCAAAGCAACAGCGGGAAAGTGCCCTGGGAGGGGCCGTGTGGCCTGGGAGGCTGAGACAGGAGGATTGCTGAGAGTTCAAGGCCAGCCTGAGCTGTGTAGTGAGACTGTCTCAAAAGCAGAGAGGGGCTCTCTGGCCACTGCCTGTGCCTGGGTCCCCTTGGAGGGACATCTGTGACTGTCCTGCCCTGCCTGTGCTGTAGGGAGACGTGGTACGGCTGTTCCATGCGGAGCAAGAGAAGTTCTTGACCTGTGACGAGTACAAGGGCAAACTGCAGGTCTTTCTGCGAACCACACTGCGCCAGTCGGCCACCTCAGCCACCAGCTCCAATGCGCTCTGGGAGGTGGAGGTCAGAGCCCGCCCCCAGGAGCGCCCCAGCCTTCTTGCCCAGGCAGCTGGAGGGTGGGGTCAGCCAGGGGCTCCCTGTGGGTCTCTGTCCTGCCCTGACCCGGGGCTGCCTTCCCTGTCCCTCCTGCACTCCAGGTGGTCCATCACGACCCCTGCCGTGGGGGCGCTGGCCACTGGAACGGCCTATACCGCTTCAAACACCTGGCCACGGGCAACTACCTGGCTGCAGAGGTGAGCGGGAGGCAGAGGGCTCCCTGGGGGTCAGACTGCCAGGAGGGCGAGGGGCCCAGCACCCATGGCACATGTGGGGACGGGGCCCTGATGTGGCTGCATATCGAGCAGAAACCAGAACGCATGCTGCGTGGCTGTAAGTGAGCCGGACGCCACTGAGCGCATGCCGTGACCAGCGGCTCTTTAGGTGCTGGGGATGGAGCATAGAACAGAAGTTCCAGTCCCGGGACAGTACTGCCTGTGATTGGCCCTTGGGGAGGCTGAGGCAGGCAGACTGCAAGTTTGAACCTAATCTGGGCAACTTAGTGAGACCTTGTCTCAAATTAAAAATGATGTAGAAAGAAGGGGCTGGGATGTACCTCAGTGGTGGAGTGTTCCTGGTTTCCATGCCAAAAAGGAAAAAAGCCAGCCCCCTGCTGTGCACGTGCAGTGTGTACAGGGCACGAGTGTGTGTGCAGTCATTGGGCCATATGTGGCTCTCCCTGGGAGATGGGCTTGGGATCAAGGGGAGGCGCCCCAGGAAGGGCAGAGGCCCAAGGCTGGCCTGGGGTGGCTGTGGTGTCCAGTAGCCCCACCTGTGTCTGTCCAGGAAAACCCCAGCTACAAGGGTGATGCCCCAGACCCCAAGGCAGCAGGAGCGGTGAGGACCGTGGGTCCCCTGGGGAGCACAGGGTGGGGGTGCTGTCTGGGAGGAGATGGCCCCTGGGTGGTCCCCCCACCCCGTGTTCTAGGGCCTGAACAGGGGTTGCTGCCTAATTTGGGGCTCACCGCAGGGTGCCCAGGGCCGAGCAGGTCGCAGGAATGCAGGGGAGAAGATCAAGTACCGCCTGGTGGCTGTGCCCCACGGCAGCGACATCGCTTCCCTCTTTGAGCTGGACCCTACCACGCTGCAGAAGACGGACTCCTTTGTGCCACGGTGGGTGTGTGCCGGGGGCTGGCAGGGCCTTTCTGATGCTCCTGTTGTCTGGCCTGAGAGGTCCTTTGGCCTCTGGGGTCAGTGCAGGTCTGCTGTCACCACCTCCTGCCCTCTTCCCAGCCTGGGTTCTGCAATTCTCAGTGCTGTCTTGTGCGTCGTATGCTTGCGTTTTTAAAAGCCTCCTGCGATTGTAGGTTCAAGTCTAGCCTGGACAACTTAGTGTGCTCCTGTCTCAAATTAAAAAATAAAAAAGGCCAGGTAGGGGCCGGTGAGATAGCTCAGTAGAATGAGTGCCTGGGAAGTGCAAGGTCCTGAGTTCAGTCCCCAGTACCGGGGGTGGGGGTGGGGGTGGGGAAGGTCAGGGATATAGCTCCTCAGTACAAGCACCTGCCTGGCAAGCGCAAGGTCCTGAGTTTGATTCCTGTACCAAAATAAATGAATAAGATAAAAAAAGGGATGGGACATAATAGCTCAGTGGTAGAGAACTACTGGATTCAGCGCTGGGCTCCTGGCCCTGTCAAGCATGAGTGGGCCTAGTGCATAACTTCAGGTAGTGGACTCGGTCTTCTCATCCGTAGAGTGGGAATAATCAGTCCACCAGCAGCAGGGCTATGGCAGGGTTAATCGAGACTACGTAGACCCCAGACCTGGCTTTAAGTCTTGCGGCCAGATGCATTCTGAGATTCAGGTGGTTTAACATTGCAGAAAGATGACCGACCTTGTATCTGGACATGGTGGAGCATGCCTACAGCTCCAGCACTCTGGGACAGGCTGAGGAAGGACAATGCAAAGTTAAAGACCAGTCTGGGCAACTTAGGAACTTAGTGAAATTTTATCTCAAAATTAAAAATGTCGTCATAAAATAAAAAGGGCTGGAGATGTAGCTCAGGCGAAGGCCCGGGTTTAGTGCTCAGTATGGCAATAAAGAAAAGGAAATGAAAAAGTCTTTTAGTTCATAAGCTGATGAGGGTTTCCGCAAACATTAAACGGGAACAACGGCCTTAGTAGCCTTGATCGTGTAAGCGAATTCTGGCTCAGGCTCGCACTTCCTCTGCCACGCTTGCGGCCCTGGCTGCTGCAGGGCTGTCAGGCGCAGGTGGGGAGGCTCATCCCCGTCCTGCCCCTGCAGGAACTCGTACGTGCGGCTGCGGCACCTGTGCACTAACACGTGGATCCAGAGCACCAACGTGCCCATCGATGTGGACGAGGAGCGGCCCATCCGCCTCATGGTGCGGCTGCAGGGCTGGGCCGGGGCCTGGCTGGGGCTAGGGCTGCCCCTGGCTGCCCTGCTGACCCCTATCCTTGCAGCTGGGCACCTGCCCCACCAAGGAGGACAAGGAGGCCTTCGCCATCGTGTCCGTGCCTGTGTCTGAGATCCGCGACCTGGACTTTGCCAACGACGCCAGCTCCATGCTGGCCAGCGCCGTGGAGAAACTCAACGAGGGCTTCATCAGCCAGAATGACCGAAGGTGGGTGGGGAGGGCCAAAGATTTCCGGGATCCCCCTCTCGGGATCACAGAGCAGAAGCCAGGGGGCTGGGGCTGGGGCAGGCTACACGGAGGTGACCCTGCGCCCCTGAAGTTGGGAGCGGCTCGCTGCCCACATCCCTCCAGGACTATGAGGGCGCCCTTGCTACTCCTGTTAGATGCTGTGAAGGAGGCCCAGAGGGGCCAGGAGACTTCCCCAGAGCCACACAGCTGGGAAGCGGAAGTCAGGTTGTGCTGTGCTCTCTGGGGACTAGCGGGCAGGCTGGGAGGGGAGCGCGGGTTCTGGAGAGCAGTGTGGGGCAGGGCTGGGCCAGCAGTGAGGCCAGGCTTCGTGTTCCGGGCAGCAGAGTGGCGAGTGACCTCGTGAACACCACGCCTGGGCAGGATGGTCACTCACGGCCCCCAGGCTCAGTGCATCACATCTGTTCCCTGTGTCCCCTTGCCAGGTTTGTCATCCAGCTGCTGGAGGACCTGGTGTTCTTTGTCAGTGATGTCCCCAACAATGGGCAGAACGTCCTGGATATCATGGTCACCAAGCCCAACCGGGAGCGGCAGAAGCTGATGAGGGAGCAGAATATCCTCAAACAGGTGCCTGCACGGTGTGGCAGGATGGCGTGGCAGGACGCCTGCGTGGCCTTGCGTGTGGCTCCCCTGCTCCCTGTAGGCGTGTGCTATCCTGGCAAAACATGGGAAAGGGGCTGTGGCTCGGGGTGGGCATGGTCCTGGGCTCCAGTCCTCTGCCCTGCAGAGAGGGGAGCCAGGGGGTCTGCAGGCCACAGAGTAGGAGCAACCTGACCTGAGCACACAGTGGGGAAGCTGCAGGGCCGGATTTGAACCCAGGATGTTGGATGGGAAACTCGTGCTTAGCAAAATTATGTACACTTCCAAGTTTTTGCAGTGCCAGAGATTGAACCCAGAGTCTTTGCATTGAGCTGCATCTTCAGCCTTTTATTTATTTATTTATTTATTTATTTATTTATTTTTGGACAAGATCTCACTAAGTCATTAAGTTGTTCAGCGTAGGTTTGAACTTGTCATCTTCCTGCCTCAGCCTCCCAGAGTGCTGGGATTGTAAGCCTAGATCACCATGACTGGCTTATACTTTAAAAAAATTTTTTTTCTTCCTAAATTTTTTATTATGAGAATTTTTAAAGATTGAGAAGGTATTAAAGAGTGGCTCTGGGGCTGGTGAGATGGCTCAGTGGTCTAAAGCACCTACTTAGAACAAGCTTAGCAAAGCACAGGGACCGCGGTTCAATCCCCCAGCACCACATGCCAGCCAGCCCACCCCCTGATGGGCTGAGCTGGCCACACACACACACACACACACAAATAAAAAAAATTTAGAAAAAAAAAAAAAAAAGAGTGGCTCTGTGACCGTGGTGTGTTTACCACCTAAACTCACTTGTTACAGTTTTATGGTCCTGGCTTTATGTGGTCCTGTGTTGGATGTCATCCTTCAATCTATGCTTTGCTTTGCTCTTTTCTTGCAGCACTGGGGATTGAACTCTGGACCTTGCACTTGCCAGGCAAGTGCTTATTCTGTTGAGCTATCTCCCTGGCCCCCAATCCGTGCATTTCAAAGCAGGGTGCCCTGCACCGTGACATTCTCGCCAGGCTCGTCCCGTCCTATGTCCACAGTGCCTCTGTCGCCAGGGAGATGGCTCAGCAGTGTAAGTGCCGGCCTGGCAAGCACAAGGTCCCAAAGCAGGAGGTCCTGAGTTCAATCCCTGATATTGCAGATTAAATAAGTAAATAAATAAATAAATACCCTAGTGCTATTTAGGGTTGTTTCATAGAGCCTGTCACACCGGAGAAGCCAGCACTAACGCCCATCCATACCCATGTCTTCAGCTTCCCCAGACTTTTTTTAAAAAAAAGTTTGATTTATGTTTTTTTTAATTTTTTTTTTTTTTTTTTTTTATTAGAGAGAGAGAGAGAGAGAGAGAGAGAGAGAGAGAGAGAGAGAGAGAGAGAGAGAGAGAGAGAGAGAGAGAGAGGGGTGTGTGTGTGTGTGGCCAGCTCAGCCCACCAGGGGGCGGGGCTGGCTGGCATGTGGTGCTGGGGGATTGAACCGCGGTCCCTGATGCCTTGCCAAGCTTGTTCTAAGTAGGTGCTTTAGACCACTGAGCCATCTCTCCAGCCCCTGATTTATGTTTTTGGTGCAGGGTCTCACAAGGCAGCTCAGACTCATAGTGATCCTCCTGTCTCAGCCTCCTCAGTATTGGGATTATAGGCGTGTACCACCACACCTGGTTTCAGTGGCTGGCGGGGTTTCGGGTCCCACCTGGCATGCGGTACTAGGGATTGAACCCCAGTCCGTGAGCTTGCCAGGCAGGTGCTTAGACTGCTGAGCTCTCTCCCCAGCCCAAGTCATTTTTTTTTTCAGACAGGGTCTTACCATGTAGTCCAGGCTGGCCTGGAACTTGTGGTGATCCTCCTGCCTCAGCCTCCTGAGTGCTGGGATTGTAGAATGTCTTTTGAATGCATGATATTGATTTAACCAGGTTCCAATTAAGGGTTTTCATTTTGTTCAGCTGCTTTGTCTCTTTTATTTCTGTTCTGGAACAATTTTCATTGTGTTCAACCTGATTTGTAAAATTTGTGTAACTGCACCCAGCTTCTTTTTGGTGAGGAAGGTCAGCCCGGTCAGGAGCTGGGAGTGAAGGTGGTGGGACTGACAGCCCAGCTGCGCGCTGGCCTGGGGTTCACGTGCCGCTGCCTTGGGGTGGTTGGGACTCCTGGTTTCCAGGGTGCTGAGGGGCTGCAGCGGGTGTAGGAGGCCCCTCTTTTGTCCCCAGATCTTTGGTATCCTGAAGGCCCCTTTCCGAGACAAGGGTGGCGAGGGCCCCCTGGTGCGGCTGGAGGAGCTGTCAGACCAGAAGAATGCGCCCTACCAGCACATGTTCCGCCTCTGCTACCGCGTGCTGCGGCACTCGCAGGAGGACTACCGCAAGAACCAGGTGGGCGCCTGGGTGCCCCCGCCAAGCCGGCACCGGGGCACGCACTGTGGGGACGCTGGGAGTGAGGGCTGGCCAGGGCGCATGGATGCCCACTCAGGCCTGATGCCCCTGGGGGCCGTCTCGAGCTTCTTCCTTTTTATTAATTTGCTGTTCTGGGCATTGAATCTGCATGAGGCCTTTTTTATTTTTGAGACTGAGTCTCACTAAGTCACCATATCTGGCCTTGACATTCTTTAACCTTTGAACTGAATTTCTACTGGATCATTTTGTGCTGGGCCCACACAATGTATCTGGTCCTGCCAGACAGCGGAGGTCCCTGCCTCTGGGTGGCCCCTGTGACCCTGCCCTCTGTCCCCAGGAGCACATTGCCAAGCAGTTCGGGATGATGCAGTCACAGATCGGCTATGACATCCTGGCCGAGGACACCATCACTGCCCTGCTGCATAACAACCGCAAGCTGCTGGAGAAGCACATCACCAAGACCGAGGTGGAGACCTTCGTGAGCCTCGTGCGCAAGAACCGGGAGCCCAGGTGCGCCCCTCCTCTGTCTCTGCCCTGCACCGGGGTCACGGCAGCCCCCTTGGAGCCCTTCCTGGATTTGGCCCAATCGAGCAACCAGAGGCGTGGCCGCGGGTGCAGCAGGGGCTCCAGACCCTTGCCCACGACAGTCACTGAGTTGGCCCACCCTTGAACCCCTGCCAGCTGGGGAGGGAGCAGGAGTGGTTGAGGTCAGGCTCTGCGGGGCAAGGGGGCAGGAGCCTGAGCCCTCTTGACCTACTGTCGCCATCCCAGGTTCCTCGACTACCTCTCGGATCTGTGTGTGTCAAACCACATTGCCATCCCTGTCACCCAGGAGCTTATCTGCAAGTGTGTTCTGGACCCCAAGAACAGCGACATCCTCATCCAGACCGAGTGAGCCGCCAGGGCGCCGTCTGGGCACAGTTGGGGCTGCGGCCTAAGTGCAGGGCCTGTGGGGTTCAGTTCCTTGTAGACTGGCACCCTAGGCTCTACAGACGGGGGCTGTGCTGCTGTGTCCGGCTCTGTGCCAGGCCCAGGGGCATGGTCCAGGGGTCCCACAGCGAGCAGCAGACATGAGGGGGCTTCGTCCGCAGGCTCAGACCCGTGAAGGAGATGGCTCAGTCCCACGAGTACCTGAGCATCGAGTACTCGGAGGAGGAGGTGTGGCTCACGTGGACCGACAAGAACAACGAGCACCACGAGAAGAGCGTGCGGCAGCTAGCCCAGGAGGCACGGGCGGGCAATGCCCACGATGAGAGTGTGCTCAGCTACTACAGGTGCCGCTGGGCTGGGCACCAAGCTGGGGGTGGGGGCCACGCACAGCACCGGAGCACCAGGCGGCCCTGAGGCCAGGCTCAGCACGGGGACCGGGCTTCAGAGAAACCCAAGCTCTCTCAGCGCTCTGGGAGGCTGGGGCAAGAGGAAGACAAGTTCGAGCCATGCCTGGGCAGCTTAATGAATTAGTGAGACCCTGTCTCAAAATAAAAAAATTAGAGTTGGACAGGTAGCTAGCTCAGTGTGATGGCCCCGTGTCCATTCCCAGTACTGATAAATAAATACAATAAAATAAAGTAGAAAAGAAGAGAAACCCGATCTGATACCAGGTCCTTCGTGGCCCTCTGCCTGTCCACCATGTACCAGCCCCTGGTCTCAGCACCAGCCGACCCATCGCCCTCCTCATAAGCTGGGGAAGCAGAGACAGAGAAGTCACGGAACTCACTGGAGGTTGTGCGCCCGCAGTAGCGGGATCTGGTTCCCAGCCACGCTGTCAGGCTCAGAGCCCCTGGAGTAACGTGGTCCCTGGAGGAGGCTGTGTTGGGATGTCACCCCGACACCATTTCCGTCTCCCCCTCGAGGCTGCACTCCCCGCTCTCCACCCTCGCTGGCCACCGCCTTTCTGTATGGCCCTGTCCTGGCTGGGCCAGTCCCACACATTCCCCCTCACACACTCGGCCTCCTGCCACCTGTACCTCTGGGTGCTCCCAGTTGCAGGGGCCAGTACATTCCCCCAGTTGAACTCAGGGCTTTTACTCAGCTACCTCTGCACATTTTTTTTTTTTTCTTTTTGAGACAGTGTCTCACTGTGTGGTCTAGGCTGGCCCTGAACTCAAGGCGATCCTCTTGCCTCAGCCTGCTGAGTACGCGGGCATGCATCACCACACCCGACACATCTCCACTCTTTTAAAACTTTTGTTTGGAAACAGGGCTCTGCCAAGTTGCTAGGTCGCCCACGTGGGGCTTGAACTTGGAGTGCTTCTGCCTCAGCTTTCCAGGCCTGCACCGAGCCCAGACCCAGGGTGCTGGCTGGCCCGCGGCCTTGCTTGCCGGGCCCTCACCTTCCCCGCCCGCAGGTACCAGCTGAAGCTCTTTGCCCGCATGTGCCTGGACCGCCAGTACCTGGCCATCGACGCCATCTCCCGGCAGCTGGGCGTGGATCTGATCTTCCTGTGCATGGCGGACGAGGTGCTGCCCTTCGACCTTCGCGCCTCCTTCTGCCACCTGATGCTGCACGTGCACGTGGACCGCGACCCCCAGGAGCTCGTCACGCCTGTCAAGTTCGCCCGCCTCTGGACCGAGATCCCCACTGCCATCACCATCAAGGAGTGAGAGGGCAGTGGGGCGGGGTGGGGGAAGGACGGGGGTGGCGCAGGGACCCTCACGCCACCCCCTCCGCCCCAGCTATGACTCCAACCTCAACGCCTCCCGGGACGACAAGAAGAACAAATTCGCCAGCACCATGGAGTTCGTGGAGGACTACCTCAACAACGTGGTCAGCGAGGCCGTGCCCTTTGCCAACGAGGAGAAGAACATGCTCACCTATGAGGTGGGTGGCTTGGTGGGCTCCGGCTACCCCGCACCTGGCCTCAGTGGGGTCCACCTCCCCCAGGGCCCCAGCCAGTATGTGGTGGGGGCATCTGCACAGATGACCAGACTCCCCCAGCTGTTGCCGTGTTTTCTTTTGGTTTTGTGGGTGTTAGAGATTGAACCTCAGCCCTTCGCTATGAGTGACATCTTCAGCCGTTTGGGGATTTTTTTTTTTTAATTATTTTTATTTTTTTATTTATTACATTTATTTATTGTGTGTGTGTGGCCAGCTCAGCCCACCAGGGGGCGGGGCTGGCTGGCATGTGGTGCTGGGGGATCGAACCGCGGTCCCTGTGCTTTGCTAAGCTTGTTTCAAGTAGGTGCTTTAGACCACTGAGCCATCTCTCCAGCCCCTTTTTTTTTTTTTTTTTTTTGAGACAGTCTGGATGAGTTGTTCAGTTGCCCAGGTTGGGCTCAGACTTGCCGCTCTCCTGCCTCAGCCTCCCAGAGTGCTGGGATCACAGGATCGGGGGCCTGGCGCCCCATAGGCTTCCACACTGGGGAGCTAGGGCGAGGGCAGCACCTTCCTGACCCACATCCCATTGGCACCCTTGGTCTCAGCTCCGCCCCTCACCTCGGCCCCGCCCCTCACCTCGGCCCCGCCCCTCACCTCGGCCCCGCCCCCGCAGGTGGTCAGTCTGGCGCACAACCTCATCTACTTCGGGTTCTACAGCTTCAGTGAGCTCCTGCGCCTCACACGCACGCTGCTGGGTATCATTGACTGCGTGCAGGGCCCCCCAGCCATGCTTCAGGCCTACGAGGACCCAGGTGGTAAGGCTCTGTCCTGCGCAGCTGCCACCCTCTGCCCTCCGGTCGGCAGTCTCTTCCTTGAGGCTCTTTGTGAACTCCTCCTCCTGGTCTTGTCGAGGGGGACCTGTGGGTTCCTCCTGGGCTGGGCCAGGGGTGCCTGCTCGGCACTCTGGTGATCCCGGGTCTGGCAAGTTGCTGTCAGCACTTGGTTGGGGGGGACCCACCTTACTGTCTCCCAGGAAGCCTCCCAGATGAACCCTGCCCCTTCCTTGGCGAACCTGTGCCCTGCTGCTGGGAGGGACTGTGTGTGCACCACACACCCCAGACTGGGATCCCCGTCGTGCCCCTAACCCTTCTGCCCCTGTGATCTGCAGGCAAGAACGTGCGGCGGTCCATCCAGGGCGTGGGGCACATGATGTCCACCATGGTGCTGAGCCGCAAGCAGTCTGTCTTCGGTGCCCCCAACCTGCCACCCAGTGCCGGTGCCCCTGAGCCGCTGGACAGGAGCAAGTTTGAGAACAACGAGGCCATCGTAGTGATGGAGACCAAGCTTAAGATCTTGGATATCCTGCAGGTGGCAGGGCGTGGTGGCCCTTGTGGAACTCTTTGTCCAGATGGGGAGGCCCGCATTGTTTGGTCGCCTGGCCCAGTGGTCCTCAATTGTGGTTCTTTGACTGAGGGTGGGAGCTCCCTTGGGGATTGGGTGGGGGCGTGTCAGGCTCGGGGTGCGGTCTCAGTCCATATGCCAAGCCCTCCAGGTGACTACAGGTACACAGGGCTGGGCCCCGTCTCCCACTGAGGAAGATGGGAGGAAGCTCCCCGGTCACAGGGCTCCTGCATAGAGATAGAGATGGGAGATTTCTTCACCCCTTTTTGGGGCTCACGCAAGACTCTTAGCAACACCTGGGGAAGGGACTTACGGGGCCCTGAGGAGGGAGGAGACCCTGTGGTCACTATGCAATGGGCAGGTTCCCCTGTGAGGACCTTGCTGGCCCAGGATCCAGTAAGGGGAGTCAAGTAGGGGCTTTTGATCTTCCCTTGTTTCCACGTCTGCATCCTGAGGTGTGGCTGGACCATGCCCCTTGAGGACAGAGGCCAGGCCCTTCCACTGGGTAGAGCCAGCCAAGGGTCTAGCATCTGAAGCCTGGGACACTAGAGGCCATGCAGGGTCCCCATCAGCCCTCAAGGAGCAGGAAGGGCCTCCTGGCTGCAAACTGGCCCTCACACCATCCTCGCTTTCCTGACCGCAGTTCATCCTCAATGTGCGCTTGGACTACCGCATCTCCTACCTGCTGTCAGTGTTCAAGAAGGAGTTTGTGGAGGTGTTTCCTATGCAGGACAGTGGGGCTGATGGCACGGCGCCTGCCTTCGACTCTACCAGTGAGTGCACTTGCCCTGTGCAGCCTGGGTGGCCAGGATGGGGTGGGGAGCGATCTCTGGCCAGTGCCCTGCCCTACCGTTCTGTGGTCCACAAATGTCTGTCCTCGCCATGGCCCCATTTGATGGGCACAGTAAGGGGAAGGACAGGAGTCCTCTGTACCCCTAACTGGGTAACACGGCCATCAAGGATTTGTCCAGAGCCACAGCGGGCAGAGACCACACCAGACTGCCACTCAGTTCTACCTCCTGAGTGGCAGACCACTCGGGCCAAGCTGCGACATTCTGGCAGTGTCAGCCCTGGAAGTGGCTGGCTGAGGAGCTGGCAGGCGAGGGGGTGCTTTGGGGGTCTCTGCTCCCCACCTTTCCTGGGTGTTGGCTATCTGATGTTGCCTCATCTCTTCCTCTTGCCCCCCACAGCTGCCAACATGAACCTGGACCGCATCGGGGAGCAGGCCGAGGCAATGTTTGGAGTGGGGTGAGGCCCGGGGAGGTGGGGTTGGGCAGGGGTGCTGGCCAGGGCTGGCGGTCCCCAGGGCCCCTCCCTTGCCTGCCCAACCCCAGGGGCCTGGGACCAGTTGGGTGCAGATGTCCTGGTCATTCCCTGCCTCTGCAGCCAGGCTAGGGTAGCCGGCTAAACAGATGTTCCCTGTGCCTCGCAGCAGGGAGGAGATGTGTGTGCCTGGTCACCACCCCAGTAGGCCTGTGCTGAGCCCTGGCCCTTGTGTCCAGTGTGGCCGAGGTCCCCTTCTCAGAAGGCATTTGGAATTAATACAGTAAAGCCCAAGAGATCCTGGAGGACCCAGGGGCATCGAACCGTAGTTTTCTCAGTACCAGAGAAAACAAGTGTGAAGTTGCCGTGATAACTTCTGTGCCTCTGAATTAGTTAATTATTGAGCTGCGCCGGAGGTATAATTAGAACCGTTCCTGGAAGGTGGGGGTGTAAGGGCAGCTGCCACCACTGGGGGGAGATGGCTCAGTAGAATAAGCGCTTCTCTGGCAAGCACAAGGGACTGAATTCAATCCCTGGTTCTGCCAAAAAAAAAAGACCTTACCACGACCCCACGGTGGGTGCTGGGGACACATCTGTGGTTTTTATGGGGACAAACTCCCCAGGTGCAGCTTGGGCCTCACTGCAGGCAGCGTGGCAAGCGGATTGGAGGCTTTCTCATCTCCGTTCATGGGGTGGACCCCATGGTGTGGGTGGTAGGGCCTCAGTGTCCCCAGGAAGGGTCTCAGCTTCAGGAACCAGGGTCCCTCGGGAGGCTCGGGGCAGCGACTGTGCTCAGTGATGGGAAACAGCAGTTTGTGACCAGACGTCTCGCTGGGCGCCGCCTCTGCCACGTGGGCTGGAGCGTGCCTGCCACTGCCTGCGCCTGTCCGTCTGGCCTGCAGGAAGACGAGCAGCATGCTGGAGGTGGACGACGAGGGCGGCCGCACGTTCCTGCGCGTGCTCATCCACCTCACCATGCACGACTACGCACCGCTCGTCTCGGGCGCCCTGCAGCTGCTCTTCAAGCACTTCAGCCAGCGCCAGGAGGCCATGCACACCTTCAAGCAGGTGACGCCGGCCGGCTGGCCCCGCACTCAGCCCGTGGCCTGCGCTGGGCTGCGGGTGGGGTGCATAGTGGCGAAGGAGCTCACGGTAGGGGGCAGGACTTGGGGTGCACATTGGGGTTCTCAGTCTTGCTCCGGTCCCCAAGGTAAGAGCGTCGGTGTTCAGGCTGCCTGCGGCTCCCCCAGCCTAGCTTAGTGGCCTTCACAGCAGGCAAGCCATTCCTGGGTTCCGAGCAGAGGATGCCCTGGTATGCTTTGGTCCGCCCTGCTGAGGCCCTCGGGTTTGTCACTGTGGTGTCACTGTGCACCCTGCCCTCTTGATAGCTTTGTGTGAGATGCCTGGGCTGCCTGGGGCTGGGGCTGGGGCTGGGGCTGGCGCTTCGCCAGGGTGCCCTGTGAGCCAGCCACTGAGATGTGCACCTCCACTGCCACCTGGGTCCTCAGTCCCAGGGGAGAGGGTAAATCGAGGCACAGAGAATGCCCCTTCTTTGCCTTCTGGCCCTGGACAGGGAAGATGGGAGCCAGACACAGGTCCTGGCTTAGAGTTCAGGGCCCTCTCAGTGTCCATGTAAGCACATGATAGGCCACAGGGCCGATGACAGGAAACTAGGTCACGTGGCAGCAGGGGCAGGCAGGGAGGCCGGTGGCCATCAGGGAAGGCTTCCTGGGGGTGGCAAGCCTCTGGCAGGGCTATGGATTCTGAGGAGTGGGTGGTGGCAGGGCGACACCTGAGGGAGTGACACCTGGCCTGGGGAAAGCACAGAAGGCCTGCACATTGCTGTGAAGCAGGGCGCCATCCTTGAGCCGGTCCACCCCCCACAGGTGCAGCTGCTGATCTCGGCCCAGGATGTGGAGAACTACAAGGTGATCAAGTCGGAGCTGGACCGGCTGCGGACCATGGTGGAGAAGTCAGAGCTGTGGGTGGACAAGAAGGGCAGTGGCAAGGGCGAGGAGGGCGAGCCGGGCACTGCCAAGGACAAGAAGGAGGTGCGTGGCCACAGACTGGTGGGGTGGCCCTCGAGGGCCGGGCAAACCGTGACCCTGAGCCTGTCTCTGTCCCCAGGGGCCCACGGACGAGGAGGCCCCTGGGGAGAAGGGCAGTGAAAACTATCAGATCGTCAAAGGCGTGAGTGGCTGGCAAGGGGCCTGGGATGGCCAGGGAGGGCTCCGCGGGGCTGGCCTCTCCCGCTTCTGCCCTACTCTCTGTGGAGACACTTCCAGCTTTGCCACGTGTTAACAGCAGCCCTGCTAAGGGCTAGATGGAATTATTTTAAAGCTGAGGGAGCTTAATGAAATTCCATTTCATCGTCATATCGTTCTATTTACTTTTATGGGTGGGTGGAATCGGGTTGTTGGCGTCCCTGGCCTGCTGCGATGGGCTGATTGAGCAGTGTGAGCTGGGGTGGGCTGGGACTCCGGAGCTGATGGGGAGGGAGGGAACTCCGGGCTCACCCGCCTCCCCCCAGATCCTGGAGCGGCTGAACAAGATGTGTGGGGTCGGAGAGCAGATGCGGAAGAAGCAGCAGCGGCTTCTGAAGAACATGGATGCCCACAAGGTCATGCTGGACCTGCTGCAGATCCCCTACGATAAGGTGACCTTGACCTCTGACCACTGACCCTCCCAAGCAAGTTCCACTGAGAGGCCTAACCCAGTGCATGCTGTGCGTCTGTCCCTAGTACAGGGGTTGGCAGGACCCTTGGTACCAGCCAGGATTCCCCTGGGGCCTGAATCCAATCTGAGCATCATTCTGACCTCTGACCTCTGACCCCAGCCTGACCCACAGGACTGGTTTGGTGGAGTTCACCCCACTGGTCCACTGTGACCCCCCCCCCCACTCCATCTCAGTTGTCCTCCCTTGGCCCACCTTGCCCTCATCACACCCCAGCCTCCTCAGGCCAAGGGTTCCCTAGTGGCCTCGTCCCACCTCTGCCTTTTCTCTCCGGCCTCACCCCAACCGGCCCTGAGTGCAGTTGTGGGCACCCTCAACCTCTGGCCTATGCCCCTGCCCTTCCCATCCCAGCTGCCCCACGCCCCCTTGGGCGGCCCAGCCCCCTACCCCCGTCCTGGGTGGGCCCGGTACCTTCTTCTCGTGCGCACAGGGTGATGCCAAGATGCTGGAGATCCTGCGCTACACACACCAGTTCCTGCAGAAGTTCTGCGCCGGCAACGCGGGCAACCAGGCCCTGCTGCACAAGCACCTGCACCTCTTCCTCACTCCAGGGGTGAGCGTGTCGGGTGGGGGTGGGGCCCAGGGGCGCCCGCCTGTGCGGGGCAGCCTGGACCCAGGACCCCTCTGACAGGGCCTGCCACCCACCGCAGCTGCTGGAGGCTGAGACCATGCAGCACATCTTTCTGAACAACTACCAGCTGTGCTCGGAGATCGGCGAGCCCGTGCTGCAGCACTTCGTACACCTGCTGGCCACGCACGGCCGCCACGTGCAGTACCTGGATTTCCTGCACACGGTCATTAAAGCCGAGGGCAAGTACGTGAAGAAGTGCCAAGACATGATCATGACTGAGGTGAGGCGGCACGGCAGGCTGCGGGGCGGTGCCGAGTGGGCTGAGGAGTGGGGCGGAAGGGGCAGCCTGGAGACCCCACAGGCAGGGTGTGACTGGCCAGCAGAGGGCTGCAGGGTGTGCGCCGCAGGGTTTAAATTATGCTCTGGGGCTGGGTATGGTGTCAGAGGCCTGTGATCTCAGCAAGCCTGCAAGCTGAGGCAGGAGGATAGAGAGTTTCAATCCAGCCTGGGCAGCTTTAGTTTAGCATGATCTCGCCTCACAATAAAATGGGAGAAGGACAGGGATGTGGATCAGCACCAAGGCCCTGGGTTCAGTGTCCTGGGGAAAAACAGTAAGATAGAAAAAACTCTGTACAGGAATCCAGACAGGCGAGACTGGGCTGATGGGTGAGGTGGGGGTGTCCTGCTGTCTGGGCAGAGCCCCTTTCTCGGGTGGAGCCCCACCTCTCCTTGGCAACTGCGCCGGGGCAGTAGGGTCCAGCGCAGCTGTACTGAGGGGGTCTTCCACTTGCGTCCACCTGCAGCTGACCAATGCAGGGGATGATGTGGTCGTGTTCTACAACGACAAGGCCTCGCTGGCCCACCTGCTGGACATGATGAAGGCTGCACGCGATGGCGTGGAGGACCACAGCCCCCTCATGTACCACATCTCCTTGGTGGACCTGCTGGCCGCCTGCGCCGAAGGCAAGAACGTGTACACCGAGATCAAGTGCACGTCCCTGTTGCCGCTGGAGGACGTGGTGTCTGTGGTGACGCATGAGGACTGCATCACTGAGGTGGGCAGGGGGTGGGCAGAAAGGGGTGAGCAGGGAGGCCGGGGCCAGCCGGAGCTGGACAGTTCACGGCCCCGCGCGTGCCCAACCTGCTCCATGCCCAGGTGAAGATGGCCTACGTGAACTTCGTGAACCACTGCTATGTGGACACAGAGGTGGAGATGAAGGAGATCTACACCAGTAACCACATCTGGACCTTGTTTGAGAGTTTCACCCTGGACATGGCACGGGTCCGTCCTGGGGTGCTCCAGGGCAGGGGGGAGGTGGGGTGCGGCCCCATGGGCCAACCCTTTGGCCTCTCCTCGAGCAGGTATGCAGCAAGCGAGAGAAGCGCCTGTCAGACCCTGCCCTGGAGAAGTACGTGCTGACGGTGGTGCTGGACACCATCAACGCCTTCTTCAGCTCCCCGTTTTCTGAGAACAGCACCTCCCTGCAGGTGAGCGAGCGGCTCCGTCCTGCCCAGTGCCTTGGCTGGCTCGGCATAGGGGAGCTGTTGTGTGGTAGTGCGTGGGGATGCACAAGTGTGACAGGTCCCTGTGCTGTGTAATGAGCTGCCCAAGTCGAGCTGGGAAAGCATTCGTCACCCCCAGTGCCTGTGGGGCAGGGACAGTCCGGTCCTGGGGTGGCAGGGGACAGTGCAGCTTTCACTCAGCCGGGACAAGGTGGCAGCTTTGTAGCAGGCATGGAGGTACAGGGCGGCGGGTGCAGGCCCCCGCCCCCCATCCTCCGGGCCGCGTTTGCATCGTGTGGCTCTTGCAGACACACCAGACCATAGTGGTGCAGCTGCTGCAGTCCACCACGCGGCTGCTCGAGTGCCCGTGGCTGCAGCAGCAGCACAAGGGCTCCGTGGAGCTCTGCATCCGGACCCTCGCCGTGGTGGGTGAGTCTGCCCGCGCCAAGCCCCACACCAGCCTCCCCTCCTGGTGCCCCGGGGCTGCAGGGCACCGGCCCTCACACTCAGCACCTCACTGCCCCCCAACTGCTTGCCGCCTGCCCTCGGCCCTGACAAGTTCCCGCAGTGGGGTCTACTCTTGGGGACAGCCAAGTGGCAACACAACTGTGTTCTTATTTTGAGCTTGCACGCAGTCCTGGCAGTGGGGTGGCCTGACTGGGTTAGGGACAGCAGGGCATGAGGAGCAGGATGGGAGGCGGTGGCCAGTGGGGTCAGTGTGGCACCAGACGTGGACACTGCCTGCATGTGCCTCTTTTTTCTTTTCTTTCCCATCCCTTTCCTGTCTTTTTCCCTCACCCCCACCTCCCTTCTTTCCTTTTCCATGTGGTACCAGGATTGACCCCAGAGCTTTCAACCTGGGCTACGTCTTTAGCCCTTTCTGGCACACTTTTTGTTTTGAGACAGGGTCTTGTTAAGTGGCCCCCCCATGGGCTCCCACTTGGCACTTCCTGCCTCAGCCTCCCGGTGCTGGGCTCCCAGGCGTGTGCCCCATGCCCAGCTGGTTTCCTCTTAGCCCAGATGGGGAAGAGCAGAATGCTCACCCTGCTGCCATGTCTGTCCAGCCAAGGGCCGGGCCATCTCGCTGCCCATGGACCTGGACGCCCACATCAGCTCGCTGCTCAGCAGTGGGGCCAGCTGTGCCGCAGCCGCGCAGCGCAGTGCTGCCAGCTACAAGACGGCCACCCGCACCTTCCCCCGCGTCACCCCCACGGCCAACCAGTGGGACTACAAGAACATCATTGAGAAGCTGCAGGTGGGAGGCCTCATCGCTTCCTGTGCCTTGGGGCTGTGGGGAGCCTCCGCTGGTGCAGGGGTGTGGGCGGGGGGCTGGAGCCCTGCTATCCCTGCGCACTCTGCCACCTCAGCCCCCCGGAAGGGTGTAGTGTGGAGACGGAGGCTGCTGGTCACGAGGAAGCCAGGGTGGGGGCCAGGTGGGAGCAGGCTTTGCGGGGTGCCTATGGCCCAGGGCAGGGCCCTCCTGTGGGCAGGGCACTGTGCGAGCTGCGGGGTGTGGGCAGGGTGCTGTGACCCTGCATCATGCTGAGGCGCTCTCACTGGCTGTGACCCCCTGCCCTGCGTGCCCAGGACATCATCACAGCCCTGGAGGAGCGGCTGAAGCCCCTGGTGCAGGCTGAGCTGTCGGTGCTGGTGGACGTGCTGCACTGGCCCGAGCTGCTCTTCCTGGAGGGCAGCGAGGCCTATCAGCGCTGCGAGAGCGGTGGCTTCCTGTCCAAGTGAGCGGCTGGGCCGGGGCAGGTCCTGTGGGGGCCCGTGGGACGTGTGGGAGGGAGGGAGGCAGGCAGGCAGGCAGGGACAGCGCAAGCCACCGAGCCGCCTCCCCAGGCTGATCCAGCACACCAAGGACCTCATGGAGTCGGAGGAGAAGCTCTGCATCAAGGTGCTGCGGACACTGCAGCAGATGCTGCTCAAGAAGAACAAGTATGGCGACCGGGTGAGCGACGGGCAGACGGGCGCCAGGGTGGCCCGGTGCCAGGCGGGGGTCTCCACGGCATCTCATGTCTGTGCTTCCCCAGGGCAACCAGCTCCGCAAGATGCTGCTGCAGAACTACCTCCAGAACCGGAAGTCCAGGGACCTCCCGGAGCCTGTGGGCTCTGGTCAGTGCCTCCCCGCTGCCCCTGCTTCCCGCGGCCTCTTCTCCCCAGCCTGGGCCCTTCCTCCCTTCCACCACCCAGCAGCCCTCCCTCAAGTGCACCTCTCCTGCAGGCCTGGACCAGGACTGGTCAGCGATTGGGGCCACCCAGTGCCGGCTAGACAAGGAGGGGGCCACCAAGCTGGTATGCGACCTCATCACCAGCACCAAGCACGAGAAGATCTTCCAGGAGAGCATCGGCCTGGCCATCCGCCTGCTGGATGGGGGCAACACAGAGATACAGGTGCCGGGGCGCTGCCCGCCAGGGAGGGAGGGCCACAGCCACTCAGCCTCGCCTCCCCACGAGCCTCCCCTCAGCTGACACACAGCACCGAGGCCGTACGCCGCAGCGTTGGGGGCGTGGATGGTTGAGCGGCGAGACGAGGTGAAGCTTGTGTACTCTTGGTGCTTACGCCCTAGTGGGGACACAGGCACCATGCTGACCACAGGCAGAGTGGAGAGAAGGGTGCAGGGCTCAGAGGTGGGGTTGTGTTACAGGGAGGGACAGGGACCGAGACAGATGCTCACTTGCCACATCCAGGACAGCCCTCAAAGTCCAGGGGGAGACTGAGGGTGGAGAAACAAAGGGAAGAAAAAGCTGGGGTCAGGTGGAGCCCTCTCTCTGGGTGGGAGGAAAGGAACTGCTCAGTCACCTCACCGCAACTGTTCATTTATAATTTGTCACATGACACCCCTTAACTAGTTCCCTTCCTATGTTTCCAAGGCTCGAACACCTGTTCACCTGGGGCACTGCATGTCCTGGGGCGTTCCTGGTGAGCTTGGTCTGCTCCTCACCTGTGAATGATCACTAGGTCCTAGGCAGAGGGCCAGGGCTGCAGGGTGGGGAGCGCAGAGCGCCTGGGTCAGGACTTGGGGCCAGAGGTGCCCATCCATTGTCTCTCCTCAAGGGTACAGAGGCCACGGCTTTTGTTCTGGGGGAGGTGGCACTGTTGCAGGTTTGGGGTGTGACTCGCACCAGGCAGGTTGCCCTCTGGCCATTCCTTCCCTGCCACCTCTGATGGCCCAACTGCCACCCCACCTTTGTGGGGCACGAGTGGCCCTGCATCCCCCAGCCTTGGTGTCTGCGGGGCATACAGGGGCCGTGCATAGGCTGCCTGTGCTCCTGCATGTGGGCCAGGCCCAGTGCTGAGCCGTCCCCTTGTTCTGTCCCTCAGAAGTCCTTCTATAACCTGATGACGAGTGACAAGAAGTCAGAGCGCTTCTTTAAGGTGCTCCATGACCGCATGAAGCGGGCCCAGCAGGAGACCAAGTCCACGGTGGCTGTGAACATGAACGACCTGGGGTGCCAGCCGAGGGAAGACCGTGAGCCGGCTGGCCCCCCGGCTGCCAAAGGTGGGGTGCAGGGTGCAGAGCAGGGCTCACAGGTGCAGGGTGCCTCACAGGGGAGGGCCGCACGGGCCTCAGCGTCTCACCAGCTCCCCTGGCAGGCCGCGTGGCCTCCTTCTCCGTGCCTGGCTCCCCGTCGGGATCCTCGCTGGGCCCCAGCCTGCGCGGGGGGCACGAGGTGAGCGCGCGTGCGCAGAGCAACGAGATGGGCACGTCGGTGCTCATCATGCAGCCCATCCTGCGCTTCCTGCAGCTGCTGTGCGAAAACCACAACCGCGACCTGCAGGTGAGCACACGCCCGGCCCGGCCCGTGCTCACCGCGCAGCCCACTCCCACCGCGCCACTGCGCCTGGTACCTATGGCCTGGCTAGGCCCAGCTGGGGGGTGGCGGACTCCAGCACTGTGACCCCTCCTGAGGCCTTGCCGAAGCCCCACCACACCTGCTGTCTGCTCTGCAGAACTTCCTGCGCTGTCAAAACAACAAGACCAACTACAACCTGGTGTGTGAGACGCTGCAGTTCCTGGACATCATGTGTGGCAGCACCACCGGTGGCCTGGGGCTGCTGGGCCTGTACATCAACGAGGACAACGTGGGCCTTGTCACCCAGACCCTGGAAACCCTCACTGAGTACTGCCAGGGTCCCTGCCACGAGAATCAGGTGAGCGTGGGCAGCATGGATGTGTGGGTGGTGGGTGGGGTGGCCTCCCAGGAGGGAGGCTGAGCGCTCTGGAGCCACCACGGTTCTGAGGGGGCCGGGCTGGGCTCCCCCTGCTTGCTAGACCTGCATTGTGACGCACGAGTCCAACGGCATCGACATCATCACCGCATTGGTTCTCAACGACATCAGCCCCCTGTGCAAGTACCGCATGGACCTGGTGCTGCAGCTCAAGGTGGGCCCGGGAGACGGGCACACACATGTGCCGCGCGTGTGCATGAGTGCCACGAGGGCATCCTGTGGGTGTGGGTTACACCTGTGTGACATGCACACTGCATCCCGTGAGTACTGCGTGAACAGACACGTCCTTACTGTGGAGGTGCACCGCGGACTTCCTGTATGTGTCTGTGGCCGCAGGGTGTGGTGGAGCCCCTTCTCAGCAAGCCTGGGGTGGGAGGTCATGGCAGACTTGGGGGCTGGAGCAGAGAGAGGAGGAGGTTGTGCTTGCATAGTGGAGGCCCTGAGACTGTGGCCTTTGCCTCCCGCCCCCGCAGGACAATGCCTCCAAGCTGCTCTTGGCCTTGATGGAGAGTCGGCACGACAGTGAAAACGCGGAGCGCATCCTCATCAGCTTGCGACCACAGGAGCTGGTGAGCCTGGGCTGGCGGCAGGCAGGAGGATGGGGCAGACCTGTGTGCGGAGAGGGGCGAGAGCCCGGCCGGCCCCACGGCCCAGGAAGAGGGCATTCGAGCAGTGCTGCCCTGCAGGTGGATGTCATTAAGAAGGCCTACGTGCAGGAGGAGGAGCGCGAGAACTCGGAGGTGAGCCCGCGAGAAGTGGGCCACAACATCTACATCCTCGCACTGCAGGTACCCGCCCCCAGATGTCGAGGCTTCGCTGCCCCGCCCGCCCCGCCCCTCCCCACCAGAGCCCTTAGCTGTGCTGCCTTCTGGCCCAGCTTTCCAGGCACAATAAACAGCTGCAACACCTGCTGAAGCCGGTGAAGCGCATCCAGGAGGAGGAGGCCGAGGGCATCTCCTCCATGGTGGGTGCTACCGAATGGGGCGGGAGTGGGGCCCGGATCTGGTGAAGGATGGGCTAGTATCTGGCAGTGGGGGTGAGGGTTCCACCCCAAGTGGGGACAAGGCCAGAGCTGAGAAGCAGAGGTTTGTGGGAATCTAGGGTGGGCTGTCCCCCGAGGCCGAATAAGGCCTTAGAGTTGGGCAGGATTTGAGGGGTGGGACTTAGCCGCCTTGTGTGGGTCTGGTTAGGTCCAGGAGCCTCTAGCAGGAGCCGGGTTGCACTTGGCAGGGCGCAGAGGCGCTTGGATTGTTCTGTGGGCTTCTCTGGCCCAAGGCTTCCTGCTCTCGGGCACTTGCTATCCCCCAGCTGGTCCTGGTTGGGGGGCATGGCCTGGCTGGCTGGGGGGCTTGCTTCCTGTGTGGTCTGCAGCAGGGCTCAGGCCTGGCAGTGTGGGGCTCGGGTGGTGCTGGCTGTGGGGTGCAGGTCTGACCCGGTGCCCTCGGTGACCTCAGCTCAGCCTCAACAACAAGCAGCTGTCACAGATGCTCAAGTCCTCAGTGCCGGCGCCAGAGGAAGAGGAGGACCCGCTGGCCTACTACGAGAGCCACACGTCGCAGATCGAGGTGGGGCCACTGGCCTGGGGCTGGGGGAGCGAGTGAGGGCCACAGCCAGATGTGACCGTGTTCCTGTGCGCCAGATTGTGCGGCAGGACCGCAGCATGGAGCAGATCGTGTTCCCGGTGCCCGCCATCTGCCAGTTCCTGACGGAGGAGACCAAGCACCGCCTCTTCACCACCACGGAGCAGGACGAGCAGGGCAGCAAAGTGAGCGACTTCTTCGACCAGTCCTCCTTCCTGCACAACGAGATGGAGTGGCAGCGCAAGCTCCGCAGTGAGCACGGGGCAGCGGGCAGCACCCACGGGTCCTGGGTGGCGCCCCCACACCTCCCTGGCTTTGTGCGTGGCTGTCTGAGTGTCCGGCTGCCACCACTTCCCATCACACCTCCTTCAGAAGGGGGCAGGTGAGGGCAGCAGAGCCCCACGTGGGGTGGCAGAGGGCCTGGGACCCCACACCAGCGTGCCACTCCTCTGCCTAGGCATGCCGCTCATCTACTGGTTCTCCCGCCGCATGACCCTGTGGGGCAGTATCTCCTTCAACCTGGCAGTGTTCATCAACATCATCATAGCCTTCTTCTACCCGTATGTGGAGGGCGCGTCCACAGGTGAGGCTGGGCTGTGAGCACGCAATGGGAGCTGGGACCCAGGCAAGGCGGCAGCTGGACAGGGTGCACCCCTAGGCCTAGGGATGCCAGAGTGGAAGGGGCTGGAGGTTGGCACTGCTGGAAACTTAGCAGGGAAGTATCCCAGGACGCGGGAGATTGCCTGGGTCTCGCGGACGGCACTGGGGCTGGGGGTGTGTGTGAGCGAGCCCTGCTCCGTGCTTTCCTGGCCCCCAGGTGTGCTGGGATCCCCACTCATCTCGCTGCTGTTTTGGATCCTCATCTGCTTCTCCATCGCCGCCCTGTTCACCAAGCACTACAGCATCCGCCCCCTCATCGTGGCGCTCATCCTGCGCTCCATTTACTACCTGGGCATTGGGCCCACGCTCAACATCCTGGGTGCCCTCAATGTGAGTGCCTCCTCCTGGGTCAGGCCCGGGCTCCTTGGAGACCACAGCAAGGTCAGCCTGTGCTTGAGACAGACACACGCCACAGGACTGTTGCACGTCCTGTGCTGCTCGGCACAGACAGGAGGAGGCTGGTTTCCAGACAGGCGGTAACGAGGTGCCTGAGTGGGGGCCCTTTCCTAACTGTAACAGCCGTGGGTGGTCCGTGCTGACACCGCCCTCCTGGACCTGGACCTGACTCTTCTGGACACCATTCTGAGTCCCAGGAGCCCAGACAGACACGATCCCCGAGGCTGGCGTTGGGTAGGGATGGTGACAGGCTTGAGGCAGGGTGCAGGCGGAGCACTGACCTGTGCCCTGCCTCAACAGCTGACCAACAAGATTGTGTTCGTGGTGAGCTTTGTGGGCAACCGTGGCACCTTCATCCGGGGTTACAAGGCCATGGTCATGGACGTGGAGTTCCTGTACCACGTGGGCTACATCCTCACGAGCGTGCTGGGCCTCTTTGCCCATGAGCTCTTCTACAGCATCCTGGTGAGCCGGCTGCATGTCTCTCTCGGCTGCTGCTGCTCTGGGAGAGCGGTGCTTGGCCCTCAACGCCCCGATAGCCCTCCTGAGCCTGCCCACTCCCTCTCTCCACGGCTTTGCGTCTAGCTCAATCACTCCTGCTACCACCAGGCGAGTTTCTTTACTGCCTCGTGTCTCAGTTTCTCTGTCTGTGAAATGGAGATAGCAGACTCTACCTTCCACAACAATGTGGGGATGAGATGGGCACTGAGGGACGTGCACCAGGAGTCGCCATCCTCCCTGAGCTGGCACCCACCCGCCCATGCCACCCCGCACACATGCCACTGGCCTTGGAGCTCCAGCTTCTGCCAGTTTCTCCTGCCTGAGTGAAGATGCCCAGGGTAGCCTGCGGGGGTCGGGCAGCATCCCTGGGGAGGGACGCTGGCCCAGCCCTCAGTGCTGCATCCCTGCCCGGCAGCTCTTTGACCTCATCTACCGTGAGGAGACGCTGTTCAATGTCATCAAAAGTGTGACCCGAAACGGCCGCTCCATCCTGCTGACTGCCCTGCTGGCTCTCATCCTTGTCTACCTCTTCTCCATCGTGGGCTTCCTCTTCCTTAAGGATGACTTCATTCTCGAGGTGGACCGGCTGCCTGGCAACCACTCCCGAGGTCTGGGGGCTTCCTCCAGGGGTTGGTGAGGTTGAGCCTGGGGCCAGCGCAGTGCTCGAATTTCCTAGGGGTGGGGTAGGGTGGGACGCTGGATGTTGAAGAGCCCAGAATCAGGCTGCAGAAAGCTGAAGTCAGGTGGAGTTGCCTCTCCTGCTGGGAGAGCCGCCCAGGCCTGCAGCTCGTTTATATACTCGAGAGATTGATGTCAGGTGAAGTTCTCTGCCCAGCAGCTTGTTAGCCTGGCTCCCCTTGGTGCTCGTGTGCTCAGGGCTGGAGCAGCTTGTTCACGTGGCTCCCGCGGGTGTCGTGCTCCAGCTTCCACCTGTGATCAGTCTCCAGCTTCATCTGTGTCCCATACTGGATGGGGGACTCCTGTTAGGTTCTGGGGAGGTCGAGGTCCTGCCTGTGTGCTGGGCCCACATCTACAGCGGCAGGAAACTCTTGCTCTGTAGCTGGATGCAGTGGGAGCAGAAAGGCTCAAGCGAGGCCTGGCACACATGATGCTGGAGGTGGCCCCAAGAGGGTGATAAGGCCAGGCCTCTGGGCCTCCTGGTGACCTTGTTCCTGCCCCTGCAGCCAACCCCCTGGGGGTGCCACATGGAGCTGCCACATTTGTGGGCACATGCAGTGGGGACAAGATGGACTGTGTGGCAGAGGTCACAGTGCCTGAGGTCCTGGAAGGTGAGGATGTCACTGGGGGGCATCTGGGAGGGCGGGCCAGAGGCAGGGGCCCTGGGTCTAAGGACAAAGTCCACCCACAGAGGACGAAGAGACTGACAGCATGGAGCGGGCCTGTGACACTCTGCTCATGTGCATCGTCACTGTCATGAACCACGGGCTGCGCAATGGTGGCGGTGTGGGCGACATTCTCCGCAAGCCCTCCAAAGATGTGAGTGTCCCCCCACCTGGCCCTGTCCAGCCAGGCTCCCATCAGTCTTCTGTGTGGACCCCACCACACTCAGAAGCCCAGTTTGCAGATGTTCACACCTCCCTCTTCCTCCTGGCTCACCAGGCTGAGACCTTGGCAAGCAGACCTGGCCCCAGGGCCGGGAGCTGTGAGTCAGGCAGGGGCTGTTTCCGGCCCTGCAGAGTGGCAGGAGGGCGGGAGGCTGAGTCAGCTTCAAGGTCAGCATGGGGGGGTGGGGGCCGGGGCCAGGCTCAGCAGGGCCTTGGACGTCAGGCAGTGGACAGCAAGCTGCCCATGCCCGCAGGAGTCCCTGTTCCCTGCCCGGGTGGTCTACGACCTGCTCTTCTTCTTCATTGTCATCATCATTGTGCTGAACCTCATCTTTGGGGTCATCATCGACACCTTTGCTGACCTGCGCAGCGAGAAGCAGAAGAAGGAGGAGATCCTCAAGACCACGTGCTTCATCTGCGGTGAGGCCAGGACATCCTGCGGCCGCTGGGGTTGCACTAGGCGCAGGGCCTGAGGGCAGCAAGTTGGTGCCCGCACCTGACAGGACTGCAGCAGGTGGGGAGGATGGGGCTGTCACTTCTGACGTGGGGTGACACGCAAGGATGGGCTGACATGCACGGATGTGGACGCTGTGGCTGGCCTCGGGCTGCAGTGGGCAGCATGCTCCCTACATTCAGCAGGGCACTGGGGGCCCTGCTCCCAGCATCCACTGCAGCTGCCACTGTGGGAGGGCTGCAGTGGGGCGGAGTGACTGGTGCTTCACACACAGTGGCCTGTCATCACAAATGTCCCCTCCACCAGAGCCCTGTGTGGCTCTGGAGATGAGGCCTCTTGCCCCTGCCCTTCAGGTCTGGAGAGGGACAAGTTTGACAATAAGACAGTGTCCTTCGAGGAGCATATTAAGCTGGAGCACAACATGTGGAGCTACCTGCACTTCATCGTGCTGGTGCGTGTGAAAAACAAGACAGACTACACAGGCCCCGAGAGCTACGTGGCGCAGATGATCAAGGTGCGATGACTGGCCACGGCTCCCTGTCCCCTGGGTGCTGGAGCAGGGACCGCATGCATCTGTGCACACAGCCCTGCGAGGCCCGAGGGGTGGACAGCTGTGGACACTTGTGGGAGGCCCAGCTCTGTGCACTCTGCCGGCTGCCTGCCGCCACGCAGTGGCCTCGTGCCCAGGTGTCAGGCAGGCTGGCCTGTTGGCACCAAGCCTGAGGCCCAGCCCTGGGCTCCTGGGGGTAGTGATGCTGAGGCATGGAGTGGGGCGCCCTCCTGTAGCTGGGCAAGAGTGGGGTGGCTTCCTGACGTCTGGATGGTCCCAGGCCAAGGGAAAGCCTAGAAAACCTGTTAAGGTCAGGCTTAGAGAGTTGAATGGATGTGAACAACTGCCTCGGCCCTGGGGGAGCCTCGGCAGGAAGGTGTGGGGGCTCTGCTTGTCTGTACCGCTGTGCTTTGACGCTCATGCATACGTTTGTCGGATGACCTGGCAGTTCAGTTTGTAACAAGGACCAAAGCACTGCTTGGTGTCCTGGGGATGTGGATTTGCCTCACAGAGATGTCAGGTGCCAGCCCTTGCAAGCAGAGCCACGGCTCCAGCTGCCATCTGACTCACAGCTCCCTGGGGTGGGGCAGCTAGAAAGGAGATCTGAGCTCTGGGTGCAGGGGCCCCCTGCACCACCTTGTTGGGGAGCACATAGGTGGCACTGATCCAGCAGAGGACTGGGCTCGGGGGAGGGCTTCTCACAGGTGGTGCCTCAGGGCTCTTCGCATGCGGGGTGCCCAGGCCAGGGATTTTGTCAAGGGCGGGGTAGAGGCCCACCCCAGAACTAGTCTCCCAAAGCGAGGTGGAGCTGCTCACGGCTGCCCATGGGTCTTGTGCAGAATAAGAACCTGGACTGGTTCCCTCGGATGCGGGCCATGTCCCTGGTGAGCAATGAGGGCGAGGGCGAGCAGAACGAGATCCGGATCCTCCAGGAGAAGCTGGGCTCCACCATGAAGCTGGTGTCGCACCTCACTGCCCAGCTCAGCGAACTCAAGGAGCAGGTGTGCACCCTCCCCTGCCCACCACCCCTGGGGCTGGGCAGCCCCTGGAAGTCAGGCCCTGGTGCCAGGAGGTTCAGGTCCTGCGCGGCTCGGAGCCCCTTGCCGAGAGCAGCGCCTCTGCCTTGGGCGGCGCCATCACATGGCCCCTGGTGGAGGCTGGGTCTCTCCCAGCTGCAGCAGGTCAGGGTTGTGGTGAGTTAATGGAGAACGGGTAAGGCTGACGCTGCTGCAGCGTGGCTGGGCCTGTGGAGACTGGGCTGCCTGTGTCCTGACCAGGCACCTGTCTGCCCCCAGATGACAGAACAGCGCAAACGCAGGCAGCGGCTGGGCTTCGTGGATGTCCAGAACTGCATGAGCCGCTGAGAAGCCTGCAGAGGCCTGCAGGGACCCGGAGCCTGAGACCTGCTGGGCACGCTGCTCTTGCCCCAGCCAGGTGCCTACCCTCCACTGCCAGACACCCCAGCGGTATAGCCCCAGCTGTTGCCAGCCAGGAGCAGGAGCCTTGGAAGCTGCCGGGACTGTTTACGTTAATGCCTGCGGGAGGCCTCTGAACCACCATTGCTTCGTGGTCCTCCTGGAGGTGGCTAGGAGCAGGCAGCTCTCTACGCACTACATTTTGGTGGCTGTCCACACCAGGGGAGGTGGCAGGATGCTGTTCTAGACTAGGGCTTTTTTATTTAACTTATTCCAAAGTGCTGTGCCCAGCCCCCTGCTGATCTCTGCCATGGGCCTCCCCTACCCTGGCTTCCTGGGGAGGTCATACCCCTAAGTGACAGGGGCTGAGCCCCTGAGAGTGGCTGTTTCTTGACTCCTACTTTTTTGCTTTTGGTGTATTGTTTTACAAACCTTTTGTTCTCAGAACTAATTCATTAATTGCCTTAAATAAATTAATAGAAATCCAGCCCATGAAGGAGGGCTATTCCCTTTACTTCCCTGGCCAGCAGGGATGAGGGGGCACCATCGTAGACTGGTGGCGGACAGCACCCCTGCCTTTCCCTGCGGGCTGGGCTGTGCCTCAGTGCTCGGAGTACCAAGTGGCCTCTGTCCCACAGTGACTGAGAACCCGGCTCCCAGGCAGCAGTGCATGTGGCCTATCCTCTCTTTCACCCCAGGTGGCTAGAATGCCTCACCCCGAGTGCCACGGAGGGTCATCTCAGGGCAGGGCGCTCAGTGGTGTGCTGAGGCTCTGTTCCAACCGCTGGGCCCGGCCCATGAGCTCCCGCAGCCCTGCAGGGGGCCGAGGACAGCTGCAGCCTGAGGCCCACCTGGCTGAGGCTGCCTGGAGCTGTGCTGTCGCTTTGGCCAGTGGGCACTGTGCTAGCCACGGGGATGGGGGCATGCAGGACCCTGGCAACCCAGCCTCGCCGCCTCCCGCTGGCTTCGGTTTGCAACAGGAATTCCTTCTCGATTTCCTGCTGCTCTTGGCTTTCTCCCAGCAGCTCCCCTGACCTCAGGAGCCTGAGAACCTTGCCAGCCCCCCCCCCCCCAGCCCGGAGGCTCCCGCACCATGCAGGAGGCACCTTGCGGCCAGGCTGGAGTCCGTGTGTCCTGTGCCCGTCCACTGCCTGTGGCCCTTGTTCATACAGCATCCCTGTGCGGGCTGAAACGAGTTCCTTTTGGTGAGGGCACACAAGCAGGGTGGGAGGCCAGGAGGTTTTATTGACAGGAGCAGCATACAAGACTCCATGCTTAAGTCTGCGGGCGAGACAGGACCCGAGCCCAGGCCTTCTGCTTCTCCTCGGGGCTCTTGGGGACAAACTTCTCCTGCAGCTTCTTCCACAGGCCTTTGTTCATGTCCTTAAACTCTTCCAGGGTGTCTGTAGGGAGACGGGGACAGAAAGACTCTGGTCTGAAAACTGACGAGGTTGCTGGTCACGGGCTCTTGTGACACAAACACCCTCACGCTCCACACAGTGCTTTCCAGAAGGCAGAATGGACCTGGCCTCTGAAAGGCAGGTCATGTGGGGCAGCATGGAAATGAGGTGCCCAGGTGCTGCACCCCGGTGTCAACTGCCCTCCTCAGTATCAAAGCAGGGCCTGTTTCCTGGCCCCTCCTGCACCTGAAGGGGTGCACAAGTGGTGCTGAGGTGGCGGGTATACTTGGCGTGTCCCCACAGACCTCATCAGCTCCGATTTTCAGATGCAGATGCCGGGGTGAGGGAGGGGAGACGATGCCTCAGGCCAAGCAGCCAGGACAGGTGTGGCTGGGGTGAGCACTGGGCAGGGCAGGTCCACCATGCGCTGCGCAGCCGGGCAGATGGGGGAAGTGGTAGACTTGGGCCCTTGTCCCCACCCATCACTTCCTTAGGGACGCTCAGGCAGATCACTCTGCCCTTAGGCCTGGCTTCCACCTGTACATTGAGGCCCAAAACAGATGCGAGCATGCAACAGTGGGGTTGTGGCCCTCACTGGAAAGGCAGCTGTCCTCTGTGACAGTGCAGGGCCGGGACGGCCTGACACACAGAGATCGCTGCAGCTGGGGTCACACCCGACGGGGCGTGGCAGGGTCTGTATGCGCTGTGGCACAGCAGAAGCCAGAGGCCCCCGGCCCAGCAGATGCGAGACTGAATGTCCTGAGATGTCTGGTTTAAATGCTCTTCAAGACTAAAGCTCCCTGGTATCTAGATATGCCTGGATCTTCAGCTATTAACAAAATTTAGAAACAACATTAAAATGTTTTCGAGCCCCAAGAGGCCCCTATGTTATCTGTTGCCATTTCTGGTGTCTCCTGATTCCACTGACATGCGTTATATACACAGAAGCCACGACAGCCTTTTTCCTGGGACTCTGCTGGAAGCCCAGGCTCCCAGATGGGGAAGGAAGCGTGAGCGGTGGGGGATCCCGTCCACCTGTGCTGGGAGCTGCCCCTGGTGCCTCGGGAGCCCAGCACCGGGCTGGACGTGCCAGTGACTGGGGCCACAGCCACCTCCCCAGCGTCTCTCTACAAGGTGGTGTGGCAGGTCTTTTCTTGCCCTATCAGAGGAAACACTTGGTAAGCTTATGTCACATTGCAGCAAAAATATGAGGCTTGCTGTGAAAACAAATTATCAGTGCATCTTCTGAGCTGAAGCCCGGGCAGAATGAGCTGCAGCAGGGCTGTGGGAGAGCTGGAACCTCCCGACTCCCTGCAGGCTCGCAAGGCTTCCCGGGGTGGACCCCAGGCACTGCGGCTTATGAGCTCAGCTTTGGCGTTAACTCCCCGAGGCCTTCACAAGGCAGCGTGCCTCAGTGCTACTAATGACATGGACGAGGGACTTGGGAGTTGGGGGGAAAATCCCCATAAGGCCATTCTGCCTGGATACAGCGTCTGCACTCCAGAATTCCTGAGAGTCACAGGACAGCAGGTGACAGCATCAGGCTTTAATCGGCTGGGAAGAGTTACGAGTGTTCTAGAGGGTCAAATCTCTACAACTTAGTTGGCGAAAACTGCGCACTGCCAGAGAAGAGGAAAGAGATTCCCATAGCACCAGACGGCACCTATTTCAGGGCTGTGCCCTCAGAAAAGGTCAGTCTATTTTTGTACACAGTATCCTTGGCAATAAAAATAGCAACTTCCAGTACCTGTCCACTTCACCCCCGCCCCTCCCAGTGACAATGGACACGGAAAAATCAGGCTGGGCTGGGCAGGGGTTTTCCTTTCTTGTTAAGAGGGGTCTATCCATGACTAGCACGTACCCAGTTAGGTCATATCTAACCGACAGACCGTGTCCCCTGGGTCAGATAACTCACAGGCGGATATCCCCATACACGTTTACTGAATGGCTTTTTGTTTTAATTAAAACCCTCATTGTTGGTAAAGCCCCCTTAGGACCATAAAAATAAAATTATTTTCCTTCCATCCTGATTTCAATGACTTCCATTTGGCAAATATGTATTCCCTTGTCCCTTGCTGCCCAACCTTGAATTTAAAAGCAGTAAAGATGGATTTTCTTTTTTAAATGATGCTTGTGACCTCTGCGTTCTGGGGCTACAAGCCTGAGCCCTGTGGCTTCTGAGTTTCCTGGGGGCCACTCCACAGGGCTCTCGGCATGCAAACCCGTCTCATTAGACGAGTCCCTTGGCCTAGCAAACTCAAAGAATCCTCTGCAAAGCGAGCAGGCGACCGCTGTGCTCCCTACCTGTGGACAGGATCAGCTTGTACTCCTCCAGGGACAGGCCGCTGAAGCTGGTGTCTCTCGGGCGAGGGTACTGGCGCAGGCGGGAGAGAGGAGGATTAGCTCAGCAGCACACCACTCCAGGGGTCCAGCGGCCTGGCAAGGGGGCAGCGCCACCTTGAGGCCAAGACCCGGCCTTGCAGGAACCCTGCGGGAGCCGGCAGCTGCCGCTCCAGAGCGCAGCGTTCCTCTTCGGGGAAGACAGACCCGCCGTGAGGGTCTGAGGGCAGGCTGTGGTGTCTGACGGCTCCCAGGAGAGGTCTACGCTGCTGCTCAGACTGTGCTCTGAGCACAGAGGATTCGGGAGAAATCCCTCTGGCGTGTAGGCCTTTCCACTTGGCAATGTCTATTTGTAGAGTTACTAAACCTATTTTTCAAGTCTAGAAAAACCACACTAAGTGGAATTTGACAGAAATCCTGTCAATGCTGAGGAAGAGCACAGCTGTCAGGCGGGACTTTCCCGACTGCCCCATTATCACAGAGCATGAGCGTCAGTCTCCCAGGGAAGCGTATGTGAGACCACGGTGGTCAGAGGCACGAGGAGCGCACGGCAGCACACGCAGTACTGTCCGCAACTCTTAGCTGTATTTAGGTGAGCCCAAAGCCTCTCGTAGGCACTTTGCTGGCATGGCTGAAATTACCAGTTACACCTGAAAGCAGCAAGCCACAGTTCTCTTACCAAGCACTGTACGATCAGCTTTACCTTCCCTCTTTCTGGCCACCCATCGCAGCAGAGGCTGGGACAGAAGAGCCCACAGCCCACTCACCTTGTGTTTGTAGTAGTTTGAATGGAGTCGTGCCAAGCTCTCGTACATCTGATCGCAGGCCTCGGGCTCAGCGACCTGAAGACAAAGAGGCCACAGCAGTGAGCAGGGCAGCCGTGCCCCGTGCTGCAGCCCATTCACTCGTGGGTGGCACACGCCTGGCCTCCGACGCCCATTTTCACAGGTCATCTCTTGGAGAAAAGGTCCACCTGGTCAGCCAGCAGGAAACCCAATCAATCAGCCAGCAAACAAGCACACATTGAGTCCCTGTGGCCAGCTGCTGTGGGCAGGACCACAATAAAAACTAAGACCACTGTCGTGGGTCTGATCCTCAGAGCACCAAATCAAACAAAACCAAAACCCCTAACGCTGGAAGTGGGCCTTCAGGAGCCAGACATAAGAGTACATGGTGGTGGTGGCAGATGGGAGACAGACAGACACAGACAGACAGACAGACACACACACACACACACACAGAGGCCCAGAGCCATGCATGTGCAGAGCAGGTCTGCCCAACGGCCAAGGGCAAGGTACATGAGCTGGACTAAGAAATACAAAGCTCTTGGAGTTAAACCTAAAGCAGGAAACCTGTTAAGTAAAGATTCCTTGATGAAAGGCAAAAGAAAGGGGGGGGGTGCTGCTGAAACTCAGGAAGAAGCAGGCAGACGTGGAGCAGAGATGCAGAACCCAGGGCAAGCCGGGGATGCAGGGATGCCAAGCAGGAAGCAGACCAGGACCAGAGGCCTGGGGCAGCAGAGAGGAAGAAACAGGAGTTCTGGGTGTCTGTGACCCACACGGGCCCATGTTTCCTGCCTTGTTATCTCTATGGTTCCTTTTTGTATGTATCTTTTTGAGACAGGGTTTCACTCTGCAGTTCAAGCTGGCCTTGAACTCATTTTGTAGTCCAGGATGGCCTCAAACACAGAGACCCTCCTGCCTCTGCTTCCCAAGTGCTGGGGTTACACGTGTCACCCTGCCCAGAGGTTCCTCACATTTTTATGCCAAGAATTTTGAAAGTCCTTAGAACAAGACCTTCTCTTTTATATTTCTTCCCAGAATTCAAATGATGCATTTTTACCTAACTGGCATCCTTTCTTGAAGACAGCGCATAAATAATGCAGGAGTAAAGCACACATCTTGTGTGCAGGTCAAGCAGGCCCCATCCCCGCCCCATCCCAGTCCAGCCACTGCTCCAGAGGACAAGCAGCTCGCTGCAGAAGATGATGGAGGGTGTGGTGGGGTCTGCGCCCAGGGACCAAGGTTCTACCTGAGGGCACAAGACACAGGAAGCAGGTGAGGCCGGAGGCTGGCAGCCGTCCTTGGGAGAAGTGCAGTGGGCTCGCTACTTCTGTAGCAAGGTCATAGCCCCAAAACCCCACAGGAGACATGACAAGGCACACGCCACTGTAGGGAGGGGACACTGGCACAAAGGCTCAGGGTGCCATTTCTATGCCATACCTGGCACTCGGGCCAGCGTGTCCACCTGCCTGTGGGAGAGCCTGGCAGCATCACTCCCCAGTTACGGAGTGTCATGCGAGTCCCTCCACGTGCTGTCCCCCCGCCCTCAGACCCGGGCTCTAAGCCCCATCTGCCATGCTACCATCCTCCGAGTCTCTTTCTCTTTGGGTCCACCTGAGCAAGGCCCCTCACCCCGTACTTCAGTGCGGGTCTCTTGCATGGCACCTAACATGGAAGCAGCCCATATCCACTGACGGTCCACACCCCAGGCACGGCAGCTGTTTTCGGTGTGACCCTGACAGACAGAGGACCCCTATGGCACCTGTCTCATACCCCAGGCCCTGTTAATTCCTTACTCCTTCTGTCACATGCTGCCATTTTTGAGACATATCAGCCAACTTAACTTCTTTTGTTAAAAGGATAACAGCACCTAGTTCCAAGGACAGTAGGAGGGCTAGTGAGATGACAGATGACCACTTGGAAAGCCAGGCAGGAAAACAGCACTAGTGTCCGCTCTGATTATGAGTAGTCAGTAGCCATCCCAGCAAAGGCATGAGCCTTGACTTCACAAGCCTGAGAGGGACAAACATGGCCCAGGACAACCCTGGTGGCAGGAGCAGGAGAGGTATGAAGAGGCCAGGAGGGCCCACGAAGCAGGGCTGGGAACAGGCACGTGGCCAGGATGAGCGCATCGGTGTGGCCGGTGCTGAGATGGGAGCGGAGGTAGCTTGGGCCTGACCCGACCCTGGTGCCTCCTGGTAGCCTGTGGTCAGGCCAGTGGGACTCAACGGCTGGCCAAAGTGAACTGTGTCCTGCGCCCGTTCTCCTGACAGCTGCTCACCTAGACACACCCTTCACCTGTGTCCCAGCCACTTCCTGTCTGAGCATGTAGAAAAGGCAATCCCTGCTGGCCGCGGCCTCCCAGCTGGCTTGCTGCTCCTACACTGCTGCAGATCGCAGCTGCGCCCCACCCCTCTGCACCTCCACACCTCCTGCCCCCCGTGTTTTCTTCCTGCTCCTCTGCCTCTGCTTCTCCAGGTGAGCCGGTGCCAAATGCCTGCTCTGCCACCCATCATGTCATGGCGGGGCTGTGGACAGGCAGGGATCAGAGATGGACAAGACACTGTTCCTGAGAGGCCAAACTGGATTTGGGCCGAGGGCAAAACCAAAGTGCCCCTCTGGGCGCCCTCAACGTTAAACGGCCTCAGTGTTAAGGCATAAGAAGGTGGACGGAGGGCCTGCGGCTCAGTGCTCAGAGGAGCTTCCAACCTCCGAGGCCCAGGGCAGCCTGCTCTCAATACATCCCTTCGGTTGGTCGGAAAGTGTCTCCCTGAGGCTGTGAGAGGAGCTGAGAGGGGTGATGGGAGGTTGAGCTTCACTGTGTTCTAGGAAGTTCCCGCCACTGATGCAAGGGTGGAGTCATGGGCAGTCCTGTGTTCTCAGTCACAGCTAACTCCAGCACAGCAATGAAAACCAAACCAAACCAAGCCTCTGCTTACGACATAAAGACTATCAGCGGACACACTAGTCTGATTCCAGAAGCCTCACTACACACCCATGTTACACTTTATTCACTCCACCACAAACATCGAGTTCTGAAATACAGTTTTTCTGATGAAATGTATTACGCATATTTAGAAACAGTTTTGTATACAAGCTTTAAATTACCTGGCTTTGCATTCACACCTAATGAGATTACAGGCATTTCAGGACTAATAGTGCTGGGTTTGAAAAAGGCAGCAGCAGGGACATTATGAAAAATTCAGCACTGCTGCCTAAATGTGAGTGAAATAGATGTCAGCTGACAAAGTGTCCTTTATAGCTCTATTTCTGCTCCTTTTGCATTTCCCCTGCTCACTCGCCAGTAAATTTCTCTTTACCATATTAAACTTTTATACATACAAATCTACATCAGTGCCGCAGGCACTGATTTCGATTTTCAAAATTGAATTTTGGGTGGTGACAGCGATGGCAGAGTGGCCCGTATTCTAGTCACAGAGAGGGAGGCATAAACATTGTTGGGAAAGGGTGCTGCGAACCGCTTTACTAATTAAGGTAGAGCTGGATCTGGTCCAGGCGGATCCATGAAAAAAGCTTTCATGACTCGGTAATGAGCTTGTGAAATGAGTCCGCTCCGCTCCCGAGCGCAGCCTTTCAGTTCAGGCGGGGATCTGTTTCCTCAGCACCTACTACGGAGTACACGCTCTGTAAGGAGACTGGGAGGACACAAGGACCCGGCCCCTGCAAGGTCTGACAAGCCAGGTGTCTGGGGCACTCGGGTCTCAAAGGCTAGGGACCGCTTGTGTGCCGGGCCACAGAACACCGAGGCAGGGGGACTGCAGCTGAACGAGACCCTGCGCATGCAACTCAGCGCTGCCCAGTTCAACACCCAGTACGGAAAGACCAGGGCAGACCCCACAGTATGGCAGCCAGTTTGGGTGGCACTGAAGACACTTGCTGAGGCCGCAAGTGCACTCGTAGCTGGATCTTGGCCACCAAGGACCACGGAGCACTGAAGGCTCCCAAGGCTGCCTACCACTGGCCAGCAGCCTAAATCTCTTGAGTGACGTGTGACACCAGAAGTTCCCTGAGGAGCAGCACTGTGTCTAACCACACGTAGGTCAGCACAGCCCCCGTGCACTGCAGCTCTGCTCCGAATCGGGAAGCCACAGGGATGGCATCTGCGCTCCGCTTGGAGCTGACTCTCCTGGCACCTGCTTGGCAGTGGGCCCCAGATCACAACTGCAAACAGTGTAACTGGTTCCCAGTTACACTTCAAAACCTGGACTCCAGGGAACCCACAAATGGCTTCTTGATGGCCAGCACACTAGGATACCGAGGTGTGGATCCTCCCCACACCGAGGTGCCAGGGACCAGGCCTCTGGCTGGCTGTGCATGACCTCTGAACTCTGCTTTGCGAAAGTGGAGGGATCATTACACTGTTAGAAACCCAAGGAAGTGTGGCTTCTTTCAAAGCGCCAATGATTTGATGTGGACACGCCACAACTGTAATGACTTGCGCTGGCTGGGCAGCAGCACTGGGGGCTGCCGAGCACTCAAGAGCGTGAAGAGGGCCTGAAGAGGGCCGCTCCTTGGCCTAACGAGCTCATTAGGAGGATCTGCTCCTTCCCCTGTTGTTAAGTCAACAATCACAGTTGTTCCCTCACCTTCCCCCATGTCGTGAGGCTTTTTTCTATGCTCTCAGTGCTGCAGGGAAGGAGAGTTCTTTTAAGGAAACTGGATTCAAAGGGGGCAAGAACCATGACGTGGACTTAAAATCTGCATAATAGGGTGCAGGGGGTGAGAGGTGTTCCATGTGTTCCTGCTTGCCACCGCCGCCTCCCCTCCTGGTGGGTTTGGGGTGGACCCTGAGACTCCCCAAAGGGCAATTTGAGCTGGAGTAAGTGGAGGCAGGTTTTGTGCTCTTTTGGAGGCTGAATTATTAATCTGCCTTCTAGTGAGCCTGGCTTTTCCACACCAATGTCCCACTGAGGACCATCTTTCTGTCTTCATTGGGGAGCCAGGAGTTGGGGCAGAGAAAAGCAGGTGCGCAAGCATGGGGAGGTGTTGAATGTTTCTGCCCAAGCAACCCGAGGTCCAAAAAGGTTTGAGCAGGGCAGGGCAAGGGAGAGGTCTGAAGCTTATGAACAAGAGGCTGTTCGCACTAGCACTAGCACTAGCACTAGCAGCAGCCATAGCCGTAGCCGCAGCTGCAGCCGGGCAACCTGACAGGAACATGTGGGCCTGGGCCAGGGCAGCTGCACTATTTATCACTTGTCCCTGATGGCTAAGCAGCCCCGCGTAAGTGGGTCTTTCTGACTTTGCTTCCTTGTGTGCAACGTGGGAACAGTAATGGTCACCTCACTGGCCGCCCAAGCATGAAGACGGGGTACACAAGTACGCTGGGCTCAGCACCCAGAAGTCAAGAGGCTGTGCAGCCCTGCCTGCCTCTCCTGGAGAGGCTGCTTCCGTGTTAGCAGCTCCCCCCTCCCCCCGCTGTCTGTGTGGCAAAGGGCCCCCCCAGGGGGACAATGACCGACCAGCCCACCCGGCTCCCAAACTGCTGTGGCTGTGATGAACGATACACAGCTCCCCCCCGCCCAAGGCTTTCCAAATGACCCGGACGTCAGTGACTCACAGCGCTCGCTGTTCTGGAGTCTGGCTGCGCCCTCCAAGGATGATCACAGAGTGATTTACTCAGCCCAGGTGCTTCTGCAGGTAACATCAGATGAGGGACCATGACAGTGGTCCTGAGTAATGTGCCCACTGCCATCAGGACACGCAGGCTCACTCCACCAGGAACGCATCCATCAGCTGCCAGGGGATGCGAATCTGCGGTGATGATTCAACCCGTGTGGGCTCCCAACGATCAGCAGCTGTCTCCCCAGGTGATGACAAAGGGTGACAACTTCCAAAGAGAAAGCTCTACCCTCCTGATGGCTGCTCTGATGCAATCAATCAAGGAGGCGACTGTCACTCTCTTGCCTCCCTGGGGACTCGGCCTGATACTCAACAGAAGGGCCTGGTAGTGAGGACTGGTTTGTGTCCCTTTTCTGTAGTTCCTGCAGCTCCACTCAGGTCACAGACACAGCCTTGACTCTTCACTATTTCGCTCCATCTAGTTCTGCTATACCCGAAGCTATTCTAATGAGCTGCCCTGCATGCCGTACCCAATCACTTGTGTATCTACTCACTTAATGTCACGTGTGCCAAGACAACACTAGACATTAGGGTTGGGGGGAAATAGCAACATTTCTGTTCTCACAGAGCTCACGCTAAGAATATGCATATGCACAGCCCTAGGAAGCCTGAGTCTGCAGAATTGGGGCCAGATGACGCGCTTGCCTTCAAAATCTTCACACTCCACGCTAGTGAAGACCACTATCAATGGGTAAGGACCTCAGGGACAGTGACCTCCCTCTTCTCCCCCAAGTCCTGGGCCATGCTCCCCCATGCCACCCTGCAATCAGTGTGCTCTTGCTCCACTACGAGGACTGCTTTGGCTCTGTGTTGGGCTAAGCTGCGAAAGACCTATGCTCTGCTTGGACAGGTCATGGCCAAGTGTCGCAAGTTGTTTCTTGGTTTTCCGGCTTTCACAGTCACTTCTTCCGACTGTGTGCACCCTCTCTCACTCGGCGCTCTGATTGCCTGCCTGAGCCCCAGGCCCAGATATCACACTGCTACCTTAACACGTGCTCTTGAAGGTCAATCCTCCTGGCATCTCAAGTTTAACTGTGAAACACCAAACTCACCGTGTTCTCCCCGTGGCCCACCTGTTGCGCATCTAGTCTTGCCCAGCTCAGTGAGCGGCACCCAGTTAGTAAGGCCAGAAACAATCTTGGTGCTATCTTCAGTTCCTCTTTCCTTTACCCCATGTCCAACCCATGAGCAAGTCCTGTGGACATGACCTGTACAATACAATCTGAATCCAGCTACCTCCATTTCCTGTGCTGCCACCCTCATCTGAACCACCACTAGGGCACCCCAGAGGCTTCCTGCCGCCTCCCTGTTGCAGCTCTTGCCTTCTATAATCCATTTGCCACACAAAACTAGAGTGACCTTTGGAAAAAGGGAACGAGGTCAGCAGTCCTCTGACTAAATGTCCTCAGTGGTTTCTCACTACTCATAAGATCTAACGTCTTTTATGACTCTCCCATGCCTGGCCCTGCCTTCCTGGGCCTCAGATCTTAGCAAATGCTACCTCACTTGCTACTCGCCAGTAACTCTGTTCCTTTTCACGGAACGCTATATTCGAGTACACACTGCGTGCCGTACTCTTTCCTCAGGTCTCACTCTACACCTCTGCAGAAATGCCTACCACAACTGTAACTTTTTTGTATTATGCTACCCTACCTTAGAGCCACCACAGTACCTGATGTCTATTTGCTTACTGTGTCCTGAACCGGAGTGTAAATTCACACAGGCGGGACTTCACTTTCAGCTCACCGCTACTGCCCCAGCGTCAAGCATGGCAGGTGCTCACTAAACATGTGCTGTACATGAATTAATGAATCCCAGGGCTTCTGCACCAACCTAGAGAGCAAGAAGGCCCGAGACACGCAGGAGCCTGAGCGTCACGTGTTCCGCAGGCTTACAGAGGGGCAGGAAGAACGCAGACTCAGCGGAGGCCGCGCAGAGGTCCTCGGGGAGCAGCTCCGTCAGCACGGACCCCGGCGAGGGGTAACAGCACGACTTCCCGGGACTATCTGCGGAAGCGCTGGGGGTTTCGCTGCCACTGCGCTAGCATTCTGAATTCTGCTAGCATTCTGAGTCACGTGGGGGGCTTTAAAAAACACTGGTGCCCAGGCCCCACCCCCAAACCCTGAGATTAGGTGAGGCGCCTGGACTCTTAAAACTCTGCGCGGACCCGAAGGCGGCAGCTCGCGGGCAGCCGGGTCCGCGCACACGTGCGGCCAGAACGGCACGACTGCGCATGTGCGGCCCCGCCCCGGCCCGCTCTTGGGCCCCGCCCCTGGCGCGTCCTTCCCGCCCCTCTCCCAGCCACCTCGCCGCCGATCACCTGGGTATTTTCTCCCTCCCGAAAGGCCTGGGCTACCCGCTGCCGCAGGTAAGCGCCCAAGTCCCGGCCCCGTTTGGTGTCGTCCACTGGCCACTCCTCACAGAGCTTAAGGAAACGGCGGTAGCGGCTGGCCGCCATTTTGGGCCCCAACTGCCCCGCCCTGGGGGAGGAGTCGGCGTTTGGCGCTTGCGCACTGAGGTTTGCAGCATGCCCCTGGCGGGCATGCGCAGCTTCGCGGGCGTCGCGCCGCTCGCCGGGCGGGGGCGCTGTTTGCCAGTTTTCTACAAGCCGAGCCAATCGGGCGCTTCCTCCTGGATCTCGCCCAGCTCCCAGGGGCCGAGATGATGCAGAGTACCCTAGGGACAGCTTTGCATTTCTTTTTCAATGACTACACAATCTCCAGACTAGAAAACCCTCCTGTGAGAAGTCGGCTGATTTGCATAAGCGAATCTATTTGCACACAAATGCAGGTTTTTATTGGATGAAGATGTGTTTGTACCTAGTCACGTAGCAGCGCACGGTTTCCAGCCCCAATTCTGTTCCTGTTGGTTTCCTTGGAACTCAGCCACAGGGCTTCTTCCGAGCTCCTGTCGTCCCTCTCCGCAGCCCCAGTTGTGCCCATCTTTGCGCCCCGTGTCCCTGCCCCAGGCCAGGCACGTTTCCTTGGAATGCAGTTTTCAGAAATTTAAGTGTACATTAAATATGTTCTCGATACGCAGGCCTCACGCCCTCCACCTTTGCGCCCCTCGTGGCTCCCTATTTCCCAGCCCCTGGAAGTCACCATTCTGTGTTGTGTCTCTGGGATTTTAACCCCCCTGGAAATAGAATCATACACTATTTGTCTCTTTTTTGTGACTGGGTTATTCCATTTATTTGTTTGTTTATTTATGTATTTGCTCAGCACGCCCCGGGGATTGAACTGCAGTCCCTGTGCTTGCCTAAGCTTGCCTAAGCAGGTGCTTTAGACCGCTGAGCTATCTTGCTGGTCCAGTTATTCCTTTTAGGGGAAGGTCCTCAAGGTTTATCTATGGTGTAGCATATGTCAGAACCCTTACCCCTTTTGCATTTTTTTTTTTTTTTTTTAGGTTTTTGGTAGTAGCCATCCAAATGGGTGTGAGGTTGTGTCCTCGTGTAGCTTTGATCCGCATCTGTCTGGTGGTCTCTGGTGTTGCGCATGATTTCCTGTGCTGAGGGCTTCTTTGGAGAAGTGTCTGGTCAAGAACTTTATCCTTTCTCATGTATGGTGCTGGGGATTGAGCCAGGCCTTGCATGCCGAGCTGCACCCCCTTTTGGAAATGTTTAAATTCTGAGACAGAGGCTTATTAAGTTGATAAGTTACTCAGGCTAGATCCTCCTGCTTCAGCCTCTCGCAGTGTCGAGACTATAGGCTTGCACTACCACAACCTGCTTCCTTTGTCCAGTTTTGAGTTGGATTTTTTTGTTGTTGTTGGTTCTAAGTTTTCAGGTTCTCTATTCTGTACATTAATCCTTTATCAGATACGTGATTTTCAGATACTTGCTTTTATCAAAATTTATTTTAGCCAGGCATGGTGGCACACACCTGTAATCCCAGCACTCAGGAGGCTGAGGAAGGAGGGTCAATGAAAGTTCGAGACCAGCCTGGGCTACAAAGTGAGCTCAAGGCCTGCTTGAACTGCATAACAAGACTCTCTCTCAAAAGACAAAAAAAAAAAAAAGGAAAGACTTATTTTACCAGTTCCCCTCTTATACACCTCCAGCCACATCACCAATGTGGCCTGCTTTTTGTTTTCTAAAGATTGCCCCACCTGTCACCTAGATTTTCCTTCAAGCCTCAGCCCTGTGCTGCCTGACCATCCTGCCTTGAGTCAGGACCAAGCCGACAGCATTTTATGCACCCCAATGTCTTCCTTCCTGCTTCACCTACTTCCAATAGACTCCTGCCTTCAAGAGTAGACTGTTGAGCCCTGGGGGTACACACAACAAAGCGAAGTTGGAGGGGACAAGGCTTTTCACTAAAGTACCGTTGTGGTCCACATGCAACATTTTAGCTCTGCATAAGTTCCATGAGATGGTGTTGCCTAGGGACACTGTCACTGACTTTGTGTAAGTACACTCAGTGACACTGATGTGATGGAGTCGCCTCATGACACACTTGTCAGAACATACCTCCGCTGTTAAGTGGTGCATGACTCTATTAGCCAGTGTGATGGAATTTTGAGAAAGAGATATTATTTGTAGCTGTTCAGTGGATGCTGTGGCTTGTATCTAGGTGTCCCATCCAAAGCCCCATGTGCTTACAGGTAGAGCTTTTCAGGGCTGGCTGGATCTAAGGTATGAGGCTATGGATTAAGGGTATGATACTGAATTAGTCCACTGACGGGTTTAGTATGGATCTGGGGATGAACAGTGGGAAAGCCTACCCTGGGTGTGGGTGTCACCACCCAACAGGTTTGTAGCCTATTGAACAGAGTAGAATAAAAGGGAAAGAAAGGCTTGCTGCTGCTGCTGCTTGCCTGCTCTACCATGGGCTGTTTCTCTTCAGCCATGCTCCCCTGCCTTGGAACCAGCTGACCATGCACTGAAACATACAAATGGTGAGCTAAAAGAAATCTCTCCTACTTTAATTTGTGGGTGTCAGGTATTTTGTCTCAATAATGAAAAAGTAAGATGGGAATAGGGAAGAAAGTACAGGGACAGCTTCAGTAGAACATGTGGCAGGCATGGGGGACAGCAAAAAGGAGAGAGAGGGGTTTGGTTTGGCCGGCCAGACTCTCTCTGTTGTAGGCCCTAAGAAGAGCAGCCTGAGGTGGCCACAAGTAGCCTGCATTTCACCTGAGGTCCAAGTACAGGGCAAAGGCAAGAAGGGCCAGGAAAGCCTCAGGAGCCTGGACATTTGCCTCCTCCTCTCGCTGCCCTTCTCCACCATCTTCTGGATGTGTGCTGTCACTGGGGGCTCAGGCCTTAATACTTCTCTTCCACCATTAGGAGCCGTGTTTGGAAATGTAGGCTCACTCATTTGCTCATTCATCCATCCATGCATCCATCCATCTGTCCATCCATCCATCTATCCATCCATTCATTCTATGTATACTATATAATTCATACTGTATAATTCATTCATACCATGTCATTTTTTAGAATTTGTTCCAAAATATAGATGTAAGATCTCCTTTTAAAAAAGAATTAAGGGCTTTAAGAGAGTAACTTGACATTGAGCCAAGCACAGTCTGAGTGCTGGCAACTGCACCAGCCTCACGGCCATGGGTGGACGAGTGCCAAGCGGACATGACAGTGGTGGCACTTGTGTGTGTCAGCGCCTCTACGAAAGGAGCAAGGTGACTTCTGGTGTGATGAGTGCCGGAGAACAGCCCAGACAGGGTGCCCATCCACCACCGTGGGGCATCCCTGAGGGGCTTGTGGGTGACAGAGACCTGAGTCACCAAGGGGCAGTCACACACGGGCAAGAGAGGCTTCTGGGAGAGGGGCAGCAGGCCCTCAGGGCAGCCTGTGTGGGTTTCCCTTGCTCCGAACTCCAGTTTCCTCCTTTTCTTTGGTGGGGGGGGAACCAGGGATTGAACTCAGGCCCTTGCGCTTGCCAGGGAAGCGCTTATTCTACTGAGCCATCTCCCTGGCCCCTCCTCCTCTTAACATGGTAATCATATGATAAATTAAAGTACATGCCCATAGCCCCAGCACTCTGGGAGGCTGAGGCAGGAGGATAGCAAGCCCAGCCTGGAAAACATGGCGAGACACCATCTGAAAATAAAACATAAAACACCCTGGGCCTTTGCTACCCGCCTGACCCTGCTCTAGATGTCAGGCACTGATGGCCTCTTTAGTCTTCTCAGTGGCTCAGGCACCACAGGCATCCCACCTCTGGAGGTGGGCATGTGGCCCAGAGCAGCCGGAGTTGCCGGCGTCGCCAGCTAGGAGGTGGCAGAGCCAGGCTCTGCCCCCAGCCGGCAGCTGCGAGCCCCGCTCTGCCCCGCCCTCCTTGCAGTTACACCTCTCACTTGTGCTGCGCGTCTGCTTGGCACAGGCCTTGCCAGTGCAGTGGAGGAGCAGCCCACCAAGTGGCGCAGCTCTTATTTATCCCTCTTCAGGGACCCTGGGGCCGCCCTGGCCTTGCACCCCCTGGGCCCCCTTGCCTTCCTCAGTGCCGGGGGCGGTGTGGCCCGAGTCGGGGCTCGCTGGCTTGTCAGTCACCAGGCGCCACACCGTGCACGTTAATGGGCACTGCCTGGAATGCAGCTCCGTGGAGCTGATGGCCGTGTTAACGCCCACCTGCCGGCTGTCACTCACTGCACAGTGAATGCGGCCGCCAGGGCTGCCCCGCCCTCGCCATTTGGAACCGGTATTTGGGCTTTGTGGAAGCGGCTTGTTCTTTACAGAACTGAGGAGTCAGCAGGGGGAGGAGAAGGGAGGGAGAGCCCGCTGCTTCAGGTTTTTAAGTTATAATGATCCCAGTAATTGAGACACCAAATTGTACATTTAAATCGCTTAAAGTAAAAATAACATTTTGTAATGCTGGTGGCTAATAATGTAAACATTACAAAGGAATTAAATGCTTAGCTTCATTGTGGGGCTTTTCTTCTTTTCACTTACTCAACTGGAGGAAGCAATGGGCTACGGTACCCAGGTACCCGGATGTAGGATGTATCGCTACCGACAGGAGGCTGGAAGGAGGGCTGGACTTGTAGTAGAACAGTTACTCTGTGCCCCGGGGAAGAAGTGGTCAGAGTGTTACAGGGACAGGGACAGTGGCCTTCGTCCCAAGACTTTCTAGGTGTTAGAAGTGGGTGGGGTGGGCCTCCAGACCGGGCTGTCCAAAGTGGCTCAGCTCCACCGTGCCATCCTGTCACCTGCCCAGGGACACGCCCCCTCCTGCACTCCCCACTGTGGCTGACTGTGCAGCAAGGCCGTCCTGCCCCCGTGAGAGGTGGTGCTGTCGCTTGTCCCCTTTCTCAGGAGAGCACCGTCCTTATTGCACAGCAAGGCCTGGCCCCATAGTGTCTCACTAGATGTTTGCCGAGTGAATGAATCCCAGGAAGGTGACCCTAGGGTAGAAAGCCAGGCTTCCCGGGCCTGCCCCTGCCCTCTGGATCCTGGACAGAGGGACACCTGGCTCCCAGCTCCCGGCTATCTGCAGGCAACAGAGGGCCAGGCCGGAGCTGTCACACTCAGCCCGGCTCGCAGCCTCTGTGTGTCCCCCAGGGCGGCCGCTGGCTCCCTGCAGCCCCTGACTTTACGGCCCCAGCTTTCATTCCAGTTCTCTCCCTCATCTTCTAGTTTATGTTTTTGGCCACAGAGGATACAGATTTAAATCAAAAGTCAGAAGTTTAGATCATCTTGAAGAGCTGCTGATGAGCAGGCTCGCCTCGCCGTCTGTTTTATGAGACGCTGCTTGCCCTTTCCTGGGGGTCTGAGCGCGCGGCGCGGCACGGCAGGGAAGAGTGATGGGGCTGCGGCACTGCCCAGATGACTCGGAGGAAAAGCCCTGATAGCTTCCCGTTCATCACACAGGCAACACCCGAGGGCCACTGAGAAGGCAGCGACCCTGCTTGCTCTCCGAGTCACCGCCTGGGGTTCCCGTGGGACAGAGGAAGCCTCAGAGTTGCACAGTGACTGAGGGCCCGGCCAGAGGAAGGAGCTGCTCAGGACCGACCTGCAGAGGTGGCGCTGCTGAGTCCCTGCCACCCTCTTTCCCCTGGCTCTTCACTGCTCTCTCCCTGCTTCATCAGGCATCCTGTTGACACGAGGCTGTGAAGGAAGAGGTCACCCCACAGGTGTACGAGGTGTCATCAAACCCATTTCTTTCCAGGCTGGTCCCGAGACCCCCAGCAGCCCCTGGCACCTGTCCTGGGCCACGGGGCTGATTCTGGCTGAGGGTTGTAGGTGCCCCTTGTCCCTTCCTTGCTGGCTGGTGTTTCCCTCTCTGTGCTCTCTGAGAACGGACGGGCCTGGGTCCCGGATGACTGGAGCACTGGGGTGTGATTTGCTGCTGCTGGTACTGGGAGGCTTTCGTGACAGTGTCAGCCTGCTTTGCCTGATACCTGTGGGCTTCCCAGCGTAGGAGAGCAGAGCTGTGCCTGTTGTGCCCGAGAGTGCATACAGCCTCCCAGGCAAGAGGGGGAGCAGGCAAAAGGCCCGGGGGCTTTCCAGTGCATCTCTGGCTGCCCCGGGCATCAGCGCCTGCCACTGCCGGGCTACTGCTTGCGTTCCCTTCCTCATGCTTGTCGGTCGGCCGGGAACCCCTGCTCTTTTGTTGCCTTCCCCCCTTGCCCTTTCCTTTCCCCACTTTCCTTCATGTCAGATCCTAGCACGCTGCTGCCACCGGTTTAGGATGATGACCTGTGGCAGAGGCTCTCACACCACTGTTCCCCTGGGGGCGCTCTGTATGTCCAGCGAGTAGCCGTGACCTATCTACTTTTCTTTGTCGTTTTGAGGCAGGGCTTCACTATGTAGTTCAGGGTGGCTTTGAACTTACTTTGTAGCCCAGCTGGTCTCACCCTAGCAGAGATCTTCCTGCCTCAGCCTCCCGAGTGCTGGGATTACAGGTGTGCGCCACCATGCCCAGCCTGGGATTACAGGTATGCGCCACCTGGCCGTGATGTTTCCACATAGGCTCTGAACCCAGTGGATCAGGGACGTTTGCTGGGAACATCGTGGTCCTCACACTTGTGTGCTTCCTGTGGAATCACCAATGAATGTGGTCCTTGGACAATTTCTAGGGCTGTCTCTATTTCTCTACTCTTCCTTTCTACCCCTCACACTGACAAGAGCCCTCTGGGCCTGGGCTGGCCGCCCCCAGGAGTCTTCTGCCCTTCAAAGTTTCCCCAGCTCCTGGCCACCTTCAGGTCTAGGGGAAGTCCCACTGCCTCCTGCTGGCTCCGCACCTTGAAGGGGCCCCTGGGGCTGACTCTCTGTGCCTCCCCCTCGCTGCTGCTCCTCCGCTCACGGTCACTGTCTGCTGGCTCACATGTGTCGTTGTTGCCTCGTCAGCTAGAACCTACGCTCCCCGAGTGGATCTTCCCCAGCACGATGAGTAAGACCTGCGCAGCTGGCTTCTGATCACCATCACTAAGAGCCCCTTCCCGCCTCGGCCGGTTTTGAGTCAACCCGGATGGGGGGCAGAGGCAGAAGTGTCCCCAGCCCTTCTCTCTGTACCCTTTTCTTCTTCCCAGGGTGCATCCAGTGCTTGATCTCAGTCTGCTGAGTCCACACATCTGCAGAGCTGGGCATGAGCTCCCGACCACAGCAAGCCCACCTTACCCAGCTGCTCGGAGTACACATCTGTAATCCCAGAGCTCAGGAGGCTGAGGCAAGAGGATCACAAGTGCAGGGCCAGCCAGAGCTACAGCGTGAGCTCACAGCCAGTCCAGACTTGGTAGCAAGACCCTGTACAGTTAAACCCCAAAACTAAAACCAGCAGCCAACTCTGCCCCTTTCTTGCCACAAATGCCGTGTACTGCACTTTTGTTGGGGACATCTTCAGGAGGAGGTAGAGACTTAGTGGGCCTCTGATGACTTGGACAGGAGGGAGAGGCCTGGTCTGTGAAGGGCTGAGTGGAGAAAGGAACCTTCCTCAGCACCCAGAGCTGAGTGCTGGGGGTGGGGGCTGGGAAGCTGAGCCAGGAGGCGCGGACTCGGAGGATGCGATACCAGATCTCCCAGCAGAACCGGTCCAGAGAGAGCAGTGTGCATCCATCGCCCCTTGGCCAGTGCCGTGGGAGGTTGCCTGCGTGGGAGTCCAGGCGGTGCACTGCAGATGGACGCAAGAGACTGTATTGGACAGGCCACTCTCCGCCCTCTCTTTATGTGGGCTTTGGGAAGTTGCTGGTGAGTAACCGTCAGTGCCAAACAGGGACCTGCGATGAGGTTTGGATGGAAGTCCCCTTCTCGCTAGACCTGCTGCCTGCCTGGCGGATATTTTGTTAGCCACGGCCCACCCCTGTTCCCTGTGGGACTACGGGAAATTGGTGGGCTGTTCCTGCGTATGCTCATAAACTGGAATTGCCAGTTGGCAAGATGATCAGAATAAACAAACAGAAAGGGTAATAAGGCCCGCCAATAATCGCTGGTGACCTCAGCAATTTTATTAACAAATTTATTTCCCTAATTGGGGAGCATCTCTCAGTGCTTGACTCAAGAGCATTGTAATAGTTTTCCACGCTGCAAAAGAAGGAATTAATTAGAATCGCCTCATACTTACTCATGCCCACCAATCCTGTAAACATTACTCCTGGATTCCTGGCTGCTCCAGGTTCGTGAGGCCCCCCACCCCCAATGCCAAGCAAGTAGGTAGAAACTGGAGACTATGGAAGCTGCCTTTTGTGGTCAGGTCATTTCTCAGTCAAAATGTGGCAGAACTGGGCTGGGGACATAGCTCAGTGGCACAGGCACCTGGAAAGCACAAGGTCCTGAGTTCGATTCCAGGTAAGCCCCCGCGCCCAATGTGGCAGAATAATCATCTCTACTAGGCACCGAGATGACTATGAGAGACCATCTTCTCCATAGGCAAATGATGGAGAACCCGCGTTCCTGCCTGGGCCTATCCTCATCCGATGACTTCCTTTTGGTTTTTTTGAGACAAGGTCCAATTATGTAGTTCAGCCTGGCCTTGAACTCGCTATGTAGCCCAGGCTGTCTTGAATTTGCAGCAACTATCCTGCCTCAGCCTCCTGAATCTGGAATTACAGGTGTGTGCTACCATGCCCGCCACTTATTTATCTATATTATTATTATTAACATTACTTGCTGTGCTGAAGCGGGCCTCATGCATGCAAAGCGCGTGTCCTGTGGCTGAGCTGTCCCACACGTGGCCTTGTCTATTAGAAGCTGGGTACAAGCAGGCGAGATGGTAACTCTGCTCTGCTCTGTGCTGCCCCAGCTCCTGCGCCTGGGAGGACGGTGGGGAGGCCTGTTAGCTCTGGCAGCCCACGCAAGCTGCAGCCTCCTGTCGCCCAGGATTGCGGTCCTAGCACTCAGGCCTCCCAGCTGTGGGGACTGCAGCACGACAAGAGCTTCCCGGAAGCAGCCACTCCACGCCGAGTGCAGCACTGGCCTCTGACTCACGCTGTGACGCTGGGCGCTGACTGACGGATGGCAGCACTGCGGGAGACGCCAGGGCGCGTGGAGCTGCCTTGGGGGCGCGTTGCCCCAGGAGCTGTGACTGCCTTCTGCTGAGGGTGAGGATGCCGAGGTAGGCAGAGCTGGTTGTCACAAAGACATCTAAGGGGTGTCTAGACTACCCGGCTACCAGAAGGTCCCTTTGCATAATCTGTAGCTGGGAAAATCCCAGTGTCCCAAAAGTTTCACTCTCCCTCTTGGATATCCTGTAGGATCCCAATGAGATTTTCTAAGCCAAAAATGTAGCCAGGATCTGGTCCATCATAGCTAGTTTGCTCCTTCCAGGAGCCCTTGTACGTCGTATGAGCAAAGTCAATCATCCGGACGTCAACCTTGGGCAGACGTCTGAGGGGCACAGCGGGGGCCGTCAGTGGAGCTTCCAGAGGATGCTGGCCCCCCGGGGTCATTTCCGGGGGCTCCTGCCCATCGTAGATGAGGAGGAGGGAGCTGGAGTAGAACCGGTATGAGCTCTGGCTCCTGAGGACGGCGAGGAGGGCCTGGAGCCGGTGCAGGATGGGCTGCAGCAGTTCTGTGCGCTGGCGGGCGCCATTGTGCAGGAACTGACAGAGGGCTTGTCGGAAGCCCTCTGCCGAGAGCTTTCTTCCAAAGTACTTGTCTTTGCAGAGAAAGTGCTTCTTATCAGTTTGATAGACCTTACATTGAAAAGAAGAAAGAGAATATGTGAAGAATCGCAAATTAAACAAGCATTATAGCTGCTGTGCTTGCAGCGTCCTGGGCTCCGCGGTGGTACGCAGAATCCCAGGATGTGCAGCTGAGCCTGGCTCACACGAGCACGGTGGTCTTCCATCACGCCCTGGTGCCACGTTCGCATTCTCAGATGCTCCCTAGCCAGTCTTTAACAGTCATCCACGGTCCAAAGATCCTTCACCTCCCAGAGGTGACCCTCCACTCAGGGAGCAACTGTCTGGATCTCCACCACCCTTGTAAATTTCCAGCGTCAACCTCTGAATCATGATTTAAGTCCTGGCTCGTGTCCCTCTCCAAATATTAGCTAACCCAGGCTAGAGAGCTTTAGTAGGAATTCGAAATCACTGCCAATGGCCTTGGAAAGCCAACGAGATTAAATTCTCCCCAATGAAGTTTATGATGAAGTCCTTTCTCTGCAGATTGGAAGGCAACAGTGATGGCCCTGGCAGTGGACTGGGGTGAACTGTTGGAAGGTCACTGGGGTGATGGCATTTGTGGGGTACAGCTCTGGGGGCCTTGGGCAGAGGAGGCTCCCAGCCACTGTGTAGCGGGTGGGGTCTCCCCCGCCTCCCCTGTCCTGTCTTGGCCACCAGATGGGAGCACACAGGAGGGCGTGTGAGCAGGGGGCTGTGGCAGCGCCCGCGCTTCATTCCGAGGGCACAGGTGGTGCCAGAGGCTGCACAGGGGCTGCACTGGCTTGGCCGTGGGGACCTAGCAGAACTGGGCAAGGCTGCCCATCCCTAGCTGGCCTGAAACAGTTTCTCTGATTTTTCCTGCCTTCAGGTCATGTGATACATTCACAGAAAGGCAGTGTTGAAAAAAAAAATCAGAAAGATATGATAAGCTGAGTGTTGCCAGTGGAGAGCCGGAGATGGGCTGCTGAATTAGCCATCATAAATACATGACAGGCGTCACTTTCTAAATAAATCAGATCAATTTCAGAAGGTTTGCGGTCCAGAGAGAGCCTCCATTTACACCGCAAATCATCACGCCCTGTCTCTTGAGGACTGCGTGCCAAGCCTTCCCAGGGACATCTGGGCAACAAATTTATAGACTCAACTTCCAGCTTCAAGGGGTGGCAGTTTCAATTAAGGAAAGCTGTAGCATTTACTGACACATCGGTGTCTGGTTTTGCTTGGAGTAGACACTCTGCGAGCGTGGAGGAACGGAGGCCGTTTCTTCCCTCCCGCCACCCTGCCGCAGCAATAATGAAGTGCTGAGTCCTGGCCATGAGGGCCTCAGCCGCCCCTTCACCTGGGCGTCGCAGCTTACAACCTGCCCGCTCTGTTTTTCTTTATCTTTTAACCAAATCAGGCAGCAATAAGAAGCCAGGAAAGGTGGGGAGGGAAGGAAGGAATGGTTAATAAGAATTCGAAATGTGGACTGTGCGCAGCGGCTGAGGGGAAGAGGCCACATCCTTGTCATCCAGGGGGACTCGGCCCAGTTCTCGCCCCAGCCGCTGCCACACACCGGCATCCAAGGTCTCTCTCGCCACGGGGAGGAACCACGGGGCCACTGTGCGTGGTGCGGCTGCCCCAGTCTGAGATAGAGTTAAAAAATGGTGGGCTTTTGACACCACTGTCTTGAAGCATAGTGTTTAAAAACAAAACAAAACAGCCAGGCATGATGGCACGTGTTTGTAATCCCAGCAAGTGGGGGACTGAGGCAGGAGGATTGCTGTAAATTCGAGGCCGACCTGGCTACAAAGGGAGTTCAAGGCCAGCCTGTACTGCATAGCAAGATTCTGTCTTAAGGGGGCCAGCCAAATAGCTCAGTAGACTAAAACTCCTGCTTAGGCAGACAGACGCAGGGGCTGGGAGTTCCATTCCTGGGCCTGCCTGCCAGCCCCGCCCCTGGGGCTGGCTGAGATGCGGTTGAGGCTGGGCGTGGTGGTTGCCCGCCTGTAATCCCAGCACTTGGGAGGCTATAAACAGGGGGATCACTGCCTACGCAGTGAGACCCTGTACACGCTGTACACCCTGTCCTAAGTACAAACAAACAAAAAAAATTATGTCTTAGACAGTCAGTCGATAGATAATGAAACAAAATAAGCAGCATGTGTGCCGGGGGCATAGCTGAGTGCTAGAACATTTGCCTACCAGGTGCAGCACGCTAGGCTCCATCTTTAGCACCCTCAGAACAAGTACAAGCCCCCCAGTGTGCTGTGGGCTGGGCCCTGCCTCTGTTCACTGACAGCGTGTCCTTGTGGCCTCCTCTCTGGCTGCCCAGGAGCAAGGGCTCTGCAGGGCGCGAGGCCGCGCTGTCGCCCACCTGCATGCCGCAGATGCGCACGCCCAGGCGGGCCGAGGTGCTCTGCTCGCACTTCCGCATGTGCCGGGCCTTCTTCTCCTCTGACGCGTCGTCTCCATGCTGCCGGGTCCCCATCTTGAGGTCCAGGATGCAGGGATGCGTGAATGGCGACACCACGTTTTCCAGTAGCAAGAAGTCTGGTCACTTGAGTTAAGGAAGGCTCAGAGGAGATCCAGGCTGCTGCCTGTTGGGAGGCAGCAAGTGGCCTGGGACACTGCCCGAGCTTCCCTGCCTGGGGTAGTATTCTTCCACTTCTGTTTCTCTTGGTCAGTCAGTTAGTCAGTCTGCCTGCCTCTCTGTCTCTGTCTCTGTCTCTGTCTCTGTCTCTGTCTCTCTCTCTCTCTCTCTCTCTCTCTCTCTCTCTCCCTTCCTCCTTTCGTTCTTTGGTTCTGGAGATTGGACCTCGAGCCTCTGAATGGTGCTATTTCCACGCCCCCTTTTATCTTTTATTTTGGGACCGTCCGTGCCGCATTGCTAAGTAGCTCAGGCCAGCCTCAAACACATGACCCCCTGCCTCAGCCTCCCAAACTGCAGGGGTTACAGATGCGCACCGCCACGCCCAGCCGCATCTCCCTCCTTACACACAAGCCCTTCTTGCTATTAAGAATGCAAGGTATTAGCTTTGCAGACTGCTTTAATAAGTCCATTTATGTAGGGGGAGTTTATGAGTAAGCTTTCCTTCCATTTCCATTTTGCTCTGAGGTTGAAATTTAAATGCAGGCGTGAAATCCCTGGCAGGCCATGCCCAATTTACATTTTATGGCAGAAAATCATAAGGCTAAAATCTCGCGTCACTGAATGGGCCAGTACCTTTTGGGAGAAGTGAGTTGATGTTCACTTCAGAGATGAGTTGCAGGAATATTAATTTCAGCAGAGTAATTATCCTGCAAAAGCTTCTTAGGGATTAGGGCGACAGATATGTCTTAGTAAATACTGTGAGACCAGCCACCCATTGCAGGAGAGGCCCCGAGCTGGGAGGGGGCTTCCAACAGAAATTTGCAGCCTGTGTGTTTATGGGGGGCAGCCCATGGGTGCTTCTATGGGGGGACCTATACTTTCCTCCTGCCCTGTGGGTCCATGGAAGATGCCTGCAGGGGGAACACGGGGAGGAACACAGGGGCAGTGGGAGGTTGGGACCGGGAGACTGGTGTCCTCACTGCCCAAGAGGAGGCAGAGACATGACCATCGGGCCTCCCAGGGACATGGTATTGAGTGTCATTCCCAGTCCAGTGTGCCCAGGCTTCTTTGTTTTTTTTTTTAATTATTTATTTGTATTTGTGTGTGTATGTGTGTGTGTGTGTGTGTGTGTGTGTGGCCAGCTCAGCCCACCAGGGGGCGGGGCTGGTTGGCATGTGGTGCTGGGGGATTGAACCGTGGTCCCTGGGCTTTGCTAAGTTTGTTCTAAGTAGGTGCTTTAGACCACTGAGCCATCTCACCAGCCCCTGCCCAGGCTTCTTTGGAGGGTCCTGATTCCTTTTCTTTTTTGAGGTGCTAAGTTTTGAACCTAAAGCGTTTGCGCTAACCCACATCTCTAGCCATTTTTTTTTTTTTTTGAGACAAGATCTCACCAAGTCATTCAGTCTAGGGAGAACTCCAGCTTGCCATCCTCCTGCCTCAGCCTTCCAGAGTGCTGGAATTACAGGCATGTGTCTGTCACCGTGACTGGCTGGGAGCTGACTGCTTCTAGGTTGGGTCTGTCCCCTTTGCCTCTGTGTCCCCCCCCCCCCCGCTCCTGACCACCAGGCCTTCCTGCCTGAGGGAGGCCATTGATGGGAGGGTGGTGAGGATACGGTGCCGCTTGTCCTCAGGGTACTCTGCACACAGGCGGCTCAGGTGGGCCTGGTGGCAAAGCAGGCCCCATGGGTTAAAGCCCCTCCATTCAACCTGGTTCCGCTTGGCATCTTCCACCAGCGAGGAGATCTGGGTGCTGAAGTGGAACTCGGACCTCAGGAACGCCTTGGCGGGGCTGTGGACAGGCAGGCAGTGTGTGAGGGCAGCAAGGCAGGTGGCAGGGCTCAACGCCACGCTCCCGAAGGGTGGGGCCGGGTGCTCCCAGTGCCACAGGCACTGCAGGGGCCTGAGAGTCCCCTGACAGCTTCTTATTGTGGGGACGTAGCACAGGGAGGGGACGCCACTCCCCAATCACAAGGCTGGGGCTTTGGGCTCTGATGCCTGGAGTGCCATCATGTCCTCAAGACATCAAAATGCCACAGGGTGGTGGCGTGGGTCATGGGACTTGGGCCACGCTCCCTTGCATCCACCCCTTGTTGGCAGGCACCTTGGTGTGGCCGTCTGTGACTCTGAGCCAGGAGCTTGGTTAGCCCTGGCCCTCCTGGGGAGGGCCGCACTGTCGCCGCACTGGCTCCCTTTGGTTTCCTATAAATGTTGTAAAGGTCCCCTCGATCTCTCTCATCTAGAAAGGTCAGCTAACACCATCGAGGCCCTAGAGACTACTCCAACGACTGTGATCCCATTCTGCTGTGTCTCCAGGGACCCCTGCGGGCCACAGGCACCTCTCTCCGTGGGCTTCCCTGCACGCTAATCCCAGAGAAATTGGCCACACTTCCCTCTTTGCAGATGGCTCTAGGGTTTTCTGTTTTGCACATCCCTGATACCCCAGGACAAATTGGCACCGAATTCTGGCTCTGGGCACACCTGAGAAGACAGCTTGCCCAAGGCTGCATCCACAGAGGCCCAGGAAAGCCCGCTCCTCTCTGCCACATTGGTGATTCCAGGCAGGGCCCCTGCGGGAGGGTCTCATTTTCTGGGGGCTAACGGGAGCAGGTGGCCCTGGGCAGGGGGGGTGCACGCCTGCTTCCTGTAGCTCAGCCACGCCCTCACCTCTCCTTGTGTGCCTGCTGCGCACACTGCCGCTGGGCCAGGGGGTGGGCGCCACTGCCTGTGGTCTGCTGTAGTGTCTGCAACATGGCCACTGCTGCTGCTGACTCTGGGGACACGGTGAAGGGCTCCCGGTCCTGCTGCTGGGGGTGGGCCACCAGGCTAAGGTGGCCTCTGCTGTCCCTCCAGAGGTACATGGTGACGGTGCCTGCAGGACACATAGGGCAGCGTGGGGTGAGACACAGTGGATGCTTGTCCCTCCCGGCGCCCCATTTAATAGCACTGGTCGGTCTCCCCCTTTTTCAGCTCCTCTCTCAGGCAAGAGGATGGGGCTGGCCTGGTTTGGCCAGAACAGATCCTGTTCCCAAATGACCCCGCCCCGTGGAGTCTGCAGAAATAGCCATGGGCTGATCGCCACGGGTCCTTGCTTTATCTCATTTCTGTCTCTTCTCGCTTTGAACAAAGCCAGCCTGTCCCTTTTGTCCCGGCATCCTGGTTCTGCTCTGCACAGTCACGCCTGCTGGTCATGCCACACACAGCCCACCTTCCACCGTAGACAGGCCAACCTGCTTCAGGGCCCACTGTCTGCACCTGTGCTCTGCCCCTTGTCATCCCTCCTTGCCCCCACGTCTTTGTCTGACCAGCATCTGAGAGGCTGTCCTCTGTCCCCCTTGTCCCCTCTCCCCACCTTTCTGCCTTTTGCATGTTGGCAGCCACTTCCTGTGGCTTGATGTGTGGGCGTGTGGTTGGTACTGTGGGCTGGGCTTTGTGGAGCCAGAGACCCCTGAGAGCTCCTCCCACCATTGCCGCATGCAGTTGAGGGCCCCAAACTGTGGTCATGAAGAGTCTGGAACCCACTGAACACATGTGCCCTGCTGCTGTGTCCCTGCAGACACTGGCTGTCGGGATGTTAGACATGGCCACAGGCTGGAGACAGAGCCCAGGACTCCCTGCTTGGAGCTTGGCGCCCAGGGTGATGCCTTGTCAGGGTCTGGTCGTGGCTCAGAGACAGCCACAGGGTGGCTCCTGAGGACAGGGTGTGGAGAGGACTCGGGACCCTGTTGTCTTATACCTGCTGTGGTTCTCTTGCTGTCGCCTGGGGGTGCCTGAGCCATTCTGGGCTCCTCTGGCCTCTGTCTGCAGGGACACTGGCCCCACGCTCTGGCCCTTGGGTGCAGGGCTACATGCTGCTCTGCTTGCCCCTGCCCATCACCACATGTGTCTGCAGATGGCCCTGGGAAGACCCTCCCAAAGGTGCCTGTACTCCATTGGGGCAGCGCCTGTGAAGGTGGCCGCCCAACCCTGTGTGAGCTGTGCCACTCGCTTGGCCCCCTTCCCAGTGGAAGCTGCGATTTCTGCTGAGTGGGCAGCAAGGGCAAGGCTGCCCCTGCCGTGTTCCTGTGGCCTCCTGGGCATTGGTGTAGACTCTGTCTCCCCTGCTCTGTAGTCCAGAGCCGCTGAGCCGGGCTCCAGGGGTCCCTGGGCCACTCCTATCACCTCTTATTCCCAGTGCCCTGATTTTGTGGCCAGGGAGGGACATTCAGGCCTCTCTAACTCCTGAAAAATCTCACTTTCTCTCTGCCCAGCCCCAGATCCGTGTGCTGTGAAGTAAATATTACAAATGATAATAATCTTGTCCCCAGGCCGCCACCTTACAGCTGACCTGACAGTGACACTTATCCTGAGCCAAGCCCACCAGCTGCACAAGAATGAAGGGCAGGGGCAGGCTGGGGATACAGTCACTACAGCGATCACAGTGGGCATGTCTTACTGGGCGCAGTGTCACACCCTGGCCACCCTAGCACTTGGGAGGCTGTCTCTGTGGGTTTGAGGCCAGCCTGAGGTACATAGTGAATTCAGGACCAGCCTGCAATGCCTAGTGAGACCCTGTCTCAAACCACCCTCCTACAAAAACCACTGGGTGCAGCCCTGTAGGCTTTCCTTCTGCGGTCTCTGAGCTGCACCAGTCTTGAAAGCCTGTTGATGGCACCCTGGAGGCTGGGGACGCTGGGGGCCACGGTGCAGGTTTGGCGTGGGCTGGAGCTCCAGAAGCCACACCGGCTGTGGCTGGGAGGAAGGGGCATGCTCTTATGTGGAGCTGGGACTCTGGCGAGGGTCTCCCGGCATGCCCGCATCCTTCTGTCCCACAACAGAGAACAGAGCCTGCTTGAGGTCCCCTACTGGGCCCTGACAGCAGGGCTGGGAGCCCAGGCAGTGCCAGGCACGGCTCTGTGTTCAGCTCCGTGTCCTCAGGTGAGGGTGGCTGTGCTTGTTCTAGGGAGTGGAGTTGCCCGTCTGGAAGCCAGCCCTGGCCCGTGGTCCCCCTCGCCCTGTGCGACAAGGGGAGGCAGCTGGCTGGGCGTGCGTCTGTCCTGGCGGCTAGAGATCCTCATTGCCTGTGGCAGGGGCCCTGGGCATAGCCCTTCAGGTCTTGTAAAGTTCAGGTTCCCATCGGGCACTGGCTTTCCCACTTGGGAAGCCTGGTGATGAGGCTGCCAGTGACCGCACAGGGGAACACAGGCCGGGGCCACCCCGAGGGACGAGCAGGGTGGCCCTTGCTGCCTGCCCGGATGCCCGCTTTGTCTGGTCTCAGTGGCTCTGAGTGTGTGAGTAGGTGGAGGAGAGCAGAGGTGCACATGCCCCAGCCCAATAAAACCTGAAAGCCGTTTCCATTTCTCATATGGTCAGAGCCAAGCTGCCAGTGCTGCACCCTCTTGGTCTTCCTGTGCCCCTCGGGTGGGCTCGGCGAGCCTCCCTGCTTCCTGGCCGTCTCTCCCACCCTCTCTCCCCTCCCATGCTCAGCCCCGCCACCAAGGCCTGCCCTGCTGGATGGGATCCGTAGCTGCCGCCCCCTTGCCCAGTGCTCGCTACCCGCCTTGGCAGGCCCAGAGTGGCTCAGCAATTCTGGCTTGGCCGGGCAGCTTCCCGAGCCTGGGTGAATATTCCATCATACATTTATTTTTAAGCTTAAGAGAACATTTACTCACTGCCTTCTGTAATCTGAATCTGGCGTAACCATGAGCCAACTGGACCTACGCGCATGTCCTCATTCGCCCAAGGCTGACAGGCAAACTGGGAGGAGACAGCTGTGTCCCCGAGACACTGTCACTGTCATGCTTGGAAGCCCAGCAAAGGCTCAGGACAAATTCCTGGCACAGGAAGGCTGCTCTTCAGAGTAAGGTCCCTGCCTAAAGGTCTGCTGGTCACCATGGCGATGCCAGGCAGGGCAGGAGCGAGGGGCATGCTGTGTGGTACAGGGGCCACCTCAGGCCTGGCCACCCTAGGGGCTGAACCTATCAAGGACAAAGAGCGAGGTCACCGGCGTACCGCGCTGGGCAACCAAGTGCCCTCTCCTTTGGTGAGATGATCCCTGAGCTCTGATGCTCGGGTCCACTCCTAGAGTGACTGTGGGCTGGGTGGAATAGGTGGCATGGCCAAGAGCCCCCCTTGGGAGCCAGGCCTCAGGGTTTTAACGCATGGCTCTGCCTCTCACTGGCTGTGTGTCGTCAGGCAGGCCAGGCAACTGCTCTGTGCCTCAGTTTCCCTATCTTTGTCAAGGGATAATAAAGGTGCCTGCCTCCGAGGGCTGTGAGGCCCACAGGAATTAGTGTCAAGCGCAGAGCAGATGCCGGTGCAGCTGGGACTTCTCAGCCGCAGGCAGCGGAGCCGAGGATACTTGTGGCCTCCCCATGTGCAGGCTGACCTCAGGGGCTGGGCCTCTTCTCTTCCCTGCTGAGCCTGACCATGAAGCTCTCGCGTGGTCGGGCCTTTCCCTGGCACCCGCCTGTGCTGCTGGTTTGTGCTCGAACCCTGGGGTTGCATGGGCTGTGTTCAGGTCAGCAGGGCGATCAGCATTCCTGTTCTGTGGTAGATCTGGAGGGCCTCCCCACACCCTGTGTTCAGATGTGTAACTTGTGGAAGGTGATGGGGTTGTGGGCTGTGTCCTCGAGGTGCGCAGTGAGGAGGCGTGGCCTGGTGGGAAGGGGCGTGTCCCAGGCGGAAGCGGTTCTCTCCTTCCCTGAGCTTCCTGGCTGCCTCCCCTTCCATTGCGCTCCTCCAGCCTGGGAGCCTGTCTTCTGTGGACTGAGCCCTGTGGCTCCACCCCTCCTTTAGGTTGGGGTGTTGGGTACTGTGTCTCAGCTGGGAGAAAGGGCCGGAGACACTGAGTCACTCACACTTCCGAGCTGGGTATCACCCAGCCCACCCACGGGCAGGGTGGGTATCTTTTCTATTTAGATTTGTTTTCTATTTTGTGGTGGTGGGAAATGAATTTGTATGCTGTGGGAACCATGCTTCCCCTGCCCCTGGGCCTAGCAGTGCACAGCACGTGTGGCTCCTGCTGCATGGACGGTGGCTGCGCACTGTAGTGCCTGTCAGCCTGTGACCCCAGGGTGGACTGCAAGGTGTCCCCAGGCCTGGGCCACCGAGGTGACTGCAGTCATGTGGGGGAGGTCAGGTGTACTGAATGCATTTCCAATTTGCCATAGCTTTAGGGGGCTGGAACCCAGGTGCAAACAGTAATTCATTTTGGGTTCTCCGTGGCCCAAGGTGGTGTTGCTAGGAGGGTTCAGCGGGAAGGGGAAGTGGGGCAGAGTAAAGGCCTGCAGGGGATGCCATGCCTGAGGCGTGCTCACCTGGCAGAGGCCTGGCCCTGTGCAGATGGGGCATGGGCAGGGGGCTGGGCTGCGGGCTCCAGAGGAGCAGCAGTGGCTTCCCCCTCCCCCTTGCCTGCAGTCCTGGAACAATGCCAAACTAGTATGCGCTGCTGCAAGCAGGAGTGCTCGCCCCAACCTGCCACCCCGGGCTGCAGGAGGACAGGAGCTCCAGTGGTTGCTGGGGGTGACCACAGCCAGCCAGGCCACACTGACCTGCATGCAGCCTTGGAAGCTCGGGCCAGGCTGGGAGGCCACACACACACACACACACACATCCCAAATCAAAACAGCAATACCAACAAAAACCCAACCAACAAAACCTAGATTCCTGGGCTTGGGCCTGACCTCCGGGCCCCCGAGATTCTGATTTCCAGGTCCAGAAGGGGCCTAGAAAGCTACAAACATAAAACCCACAGGATTCTGCAGAGGCTCGCTGGTCCCAGCTCTTCCTCAGAGAAACCGATATGGCCCTGTCCTTCCCATTGTCCCTGCTGTGGGCATGTGATCCCTCACACGTCCTGGGGATTAAACTCAGGGGCTCTCTCAGTTGCCCTGGCGGGACTCGAACTCCGCACCCTCCCACCTTGGGCTCCCCAGCGCTGGGGTTACGGTGTGCCCCACCCGCCTGCTGCTCCGGGCTCCTGATACGCTTATTTCGGCATCACTGCTGCTTCCCCCAGATCTGCGGACAACAGGGCGGGGCCTGCAGTCCTTCAGAGGCCGGCCTTGCCCTGTGCGTTCTGCCCAGCGAGCCTCCTCTTGCGAAGCCTGGTCCTGGGCGGCTCTGCCTGACCCTGCCCGACCATCTCCACCAGCTCTGCGGAGCTCTCCTGAGCCCACCGCATCGTGCTTAGACCAGTGCCCACTGCCCAGGCCGAGGGCCTCAGTTTCCTGGCCGGCAGCCCCTCCCCTCCTTGGAGAGGCAGGTTTCTCGAGCAAATCCATGGCCTGCCCCAGCCTGGGCCCTCAGGGCGAGGTCAGGGTGGCTTGTACCCATTCTGTGTTGAGCCAGGGTCCCAGGGCACAGGACCAGGTGGCACCCAGTGTGATTCTAGTCTGTTCCCAGCTTCCCCAATTGCATGGCTGGAATGAATGCCTAGAGCAGCCCAGCAACATCACACTCCAGACCTGCAGGCTCTGAAGAGCTCAGGGAGGCCTGATGGCAGGGACAGGGAGAGGCGCCTGTCCCAGCCTGCGCTTACCTTTGTACTGTGGCGTGAACTGCTTCACGGCCAGCGGCAGGGACTCGTAGAAGTGCTGCTCTTGGGAAATGAGGGGCTTGCACACCGTGTGCTTGCCGTACTGCAGCACGCTGAGGCGGCCCCCGGCCTGGTGCAGGAAGGGCTCCAGCCGCACGCCTGCCTGGGTGTCCCCAGCGTCCATACTGTCCTGGACGACCATGGGGTCTCAGGGTCTTGAAGGGAAGGAGACGAGGCAGCAGCTCCGGGGCTCGAGGCCGGCTGTCACCCTCTTGGGCCTGCGCCCCGTGCTGCTCCTGGATGGGCTCTGGAAAATGGAGGGGGTGGTGCTGGGGAGGGCACCGCGAGGGCCCACACCGACCCTGCCGCTGCCCCATGCCCTGGCAGGCCACTCCCTGGCAGCTCCACCCAGACTATAAATACACATCCTTACTTCTGGGATAGTCTGTTACCTCCCTGGAGCAGGGGCAAGCTGGAGACTTTAAATATCTTGAATTTAAATATTCAGACATTTAAAGATATTAAGCAACACACACACACACACACATGCACATGCACACACGCAAGCGCACACACGCACACACGCACACATACACAGAGCTGTAAACTCCAGACTTTTCTCGTCCTGTTGCCTTCCTCCTGCTGGGCCACTGATCCCAGGACCGGCCAGAACCCTGCTGTGGGGACAGTCACCATCTCACAGGAATGTTTTATTTTTGTACGACAGAGTTATGCACCATCAACTCCCACCATGGTTCCACTGTGTAATTGCTGTGTGACCTTGAACAAGTTGCAGAACCCCTCTGAGCCCCCGTTTCCCCACCGCGAGGGTGGCACAGTGCATCCCCCTCAGAGTTGAAGACAGAATTTTGAGAAGCGGCTGGGAAGGGTCAGCTATGCTGGTTTCCAGCTTACTGCTGCGGACGTCTGGGCAGGTTTTATCAGCACCACGTGGTGGTCCTGCCTCCCCAAGGTGGGCCGGGCGGATCTCGGGCAGAAGCTGGCACCCCGGGCTGCAAGTGCAGCCCTCATGTTGTCCTGACTTCGTGTCCAGAATGTGCCAAGGGGACACTGCGAGGGGTGGGCCTTGCCGCTGCGTCTGTCCTGTCTGAGAGGACAGTCCCACAGGGTGCCGTCACGCAGGGTTATTAATACCCGCTTGCTCGGCTGGGCTCCTGGCGGCAAGGCAAGCCCGCCAGCAGTGCTGGCGCCATTACCTCTCCAGCTGACCTTCAGGCCGGCCAGCGTGGCCGGCAGGCTCTGAGCTCAGCAGCACCCAGAGAGGTTTCCGAAGCCATTCTGGGCCTCCAGCCCCATGTGGGAGACAGCTTCGCGGCTCTGTGCCCAGGCGGCTGGGGCAGCCCCTTGGGAGAAGCTGCAGGGAGGGCGGGGAGCCTGTGCGTGAGTGGGGTCTGCTGCTGTGGGGTGAGGGCACCGTCTGTGGCAGACCTAATTCTACTGGAAGCCGATGTGGTCACTCTCCCTGGTCCATGGGCTCACGCATGTGGTGGCCTCTGCCAGTTGAGCTGTCCCCAGGCAAGGACACCTCTAGTGATCAGAGGGGCAGCTACGGGTAGAATTTGTCGACAACCATTCCTGGAAGGACCTGGCTCCCTCCCTTGTGCTCTGCTCCCGGGTCCAGCCTCACACTACCTGGCCTGGCCTTGCCACCTGCCAGCCCGACTTGCCCACCTGTGCCAGCTGCCCCTCTTGGCCACACTGGGCCATTCACCTCCCTTCCTATCTCCTTGACTCCTGTCACCTCAGGGGACCCTAAGAATATGATATGGTGGCACTGGGCCAAAGTTATAAGGCTCAATGGCAGGCCCCCTTGGGGCGCATGCACACGTGCATGGACACGCACACAGCGCTTTAGGCAGTGTTCTAGGCGCTTCCCATAGGTGAGCTCCTTCAAGCCTCACAACCACCTGAGGGGGTGACCAGGGTAGCAGCCCCATTTCCCAAATGAGGAAACTGAGGTACAGGGAGGTTGAGAAACTAGCTTAATGTACCCAGCTGGCACGGAGAGAGCAGGGTCCGAGTGAGCACATTGGCCTGGCCTAGGCTCGCTGGCCCAGCTGTGGGAGGCCAAGGCTGTCACTGACCCTATAAGTCAGGAAGCTAAATGCCTCCCCCACAGAGACCTTCCGGGGGCCAGGTGGAGGCCTTCGGAGCATGGCCCTGGGTCACCCAGACCTGTAGGGTGAGGCTGTGAGCCTTCTCTTCTCTGGAGTCAGAGGTCGGGAATCCTGGCTGTGTATTCTTTGGGGACATGGGGGTGGGGGGAAACCTGGGGCACAGTCCATGGCACTGGGATGACCTTGGATTCCCTGGGGCCCTCAGCTTCTCTGTTTCCCTTCTGCTTGGTAGATGGAGTAGGGTCAGACTCCCCCTTCCCGCTGCTCTCCTGCAGGTCCCCGTCAGGGACTCCTGGTGACAGGGCAGGACCGTCCTCAGCCTGTGATTCCTCCTGCTCTATGCAGTCACTTGTCTGCGGCTGGGCCTAGGCCTCGTTCTGCTTCTAGAAGCAGCAGTGGCAGGGAGTCAGGTGCTTGGGTCGTTGCCAGGTGTCCCACCGGCTCGCTGAGGCCTGGGAAATGCTGGGCAGCTGCTCAGAGCCTGGGTTTACGAGCTGCCTCTGTGTCAGGAGCTCGGGGTCAGTGTGCACAGGACTCTGCATCCCCACTCGGATTTTGGCTGCATGGGTTTTTCCCAGTGAAGCTCTGTGAGTCAGCTGGGTGGGAGAAGGCAGGTGGGGCACTTGGGGGGGGGGACTCACCAACACAATACTGCTGAGTACCTGGAATCTATCACATTTTGGAGGAGACAAAAGTCCCTCTCTGTAGCCTGTGCCATAGCCCAGACTCCTTGCTTGGCACCCCTCCCCCAGGGGAAGTGGGACAGGGAGGGAGTGGACAGGCAGCCCCAGGTCGCTATGTCCTACTGCCCTGTCACTGGGTCATGTCCTGTGCCAGGGAACACTGGGTCTCACTCCTGGACATGCAAAAGCTAAGAAGCAGTGGGGTGCAGCCACCATGCTGGTGCTTGTCCCACAGGACAGCCTAGTTTGCTGTCCCACAAGGCCTGAGGGACAGCCAGTGCTGGCTGGGTGAATCAGCATGGGTGATCAGAGTGGGAACAAATAACAATCCCCATGATTCTAACACCTGAGACTTCCAGATGTCAGGCCCGATCTGCTTGCTGAGGGCCCCAGTGACTGGAGCACCATGGAGAAGGAAATCTCTGTTACATGGAGTCACTGGGGTGGGGGTATTTCTTATGCAGCAGAACTCAGAGTCTGCCCTGACTAATTCACCTACTCACAGCCGTTACCCAGCGTGGAGCTCGTAAGGGAAAACAGCTTCACGAGAGTCAGGAGCTCACTTGTTCCACGGCACAAACGGGTCCCGTGAAACATCTGCAACATCCCTTCCTACTAGGTGCAGACCGCAGACCACGACTGGCTTTAGAGCCTGTTTCTCAAGGTAGTAGTTTTGGATGGAGAAGCAGGAGAATTGACGAGCTAACTGTCCAGGACCAGCAAGTGGCAGAGCTGGGCTTCGGCTGTGCGGTCTGTCTTTCTGAAGTCGGTGCCCACTCTGCCCACCTCACAGTCCTTCCTGCCACTCCGGCCCCCTTGGGGCACCCTGTGCCTAAGACAGGCTTTAGGGGCAGCTGCATCTGAGGCCCTCCATGCCCCGTGCCTTGTGCCCCACACCAAGGCGGGAGCCTTCTAGAAGGTGCCCGGCCAGGCAGGCAGTGGCACCCTTTTTCAGGTCAGGAGTGGGCAGGTCCTCCCACATCCACACCACCGCCAGCGTGCTCTGCGGAGTGGAGCAGCAGTCCCCAAGCAGCAGGCTAATTTCCCCAGTGTCTATGGGCGTTTTTGGTGATTACCAAAACACAAATTCATTTAAAGACGTTATTGAATTCCTAGAGGTTTTGTCATTATCTATTTTCACAACTGAAGACACTAAACCTATAATGAGGATCTTGCAGGGTGGGGTGGGGTGGGGAACAGGGATGGAAAAGCTACTGTGAACAAAGGGGCCTGGGGGATGGAGGTGTCGCTTGGATTAGAGCGTTGGCCACTTGTATGCGGCCTTGGGCTCCACCTCTAGCAAGGTAACAAGAAAAGGACCAGAGCTGGTGGGAAGGTGAGGGGAGCTGCTGCTCTAGACTGCAGAAGGGGCGCTTGAGGGGTCTCACAGAGGTCCAGGTGCAGCGGGAGAGCTGGCTCAGCCTACCTTGAGGCGCATGTGTGGGGAGCACGCAGGCAGGCCTGGAGCTGCAGGGCGGGCACGGTGCAGGCAGAGGGGCCCTGCCCGGCCCAACCCCTCCTCAGGTTGCCACAGGCCCCTGATGGCAGAGAAGAGGTTCTTGGGGTGTCAGCTCAGCCGGGAGCAGAGATAGGCTGTCCTGACCACTGAGGCCTTGAAGCCTTCCAAGCAGCAAGCAGCGTCCCCATAAATCTCAGGTGCTGGGGGTGGGCGCCTTAGGGAGAAGATAATTACAGAAGGGCTTGTGCTGGAGAAGCCCGCGGTGGAAGCGCGGCAGCCTGCATGATTCAAGAGCAGCGTGCTTTATAGCCGGCCCTGCTCCTACGCTCTACGTACATTTCGCAGGCCCTTGGAGCGGAGGTTCGGGATGAGCACTATTCAATGTCCTTGGGATGCCCAGGGGAACGTTTTTAATCTATTAGAGACAAGAGGACCCGAAACCCATTTAAAACCGCTTAGGCCGTAATGGGCCAGAGAGCTTGGGAGCCTCTCACGTGGCTGAGAGCTGGCGTCCTCTTGGCCATGCAGGGAGCAAAGGCACAAGCTCACCTCCAGAGGGGGGAAAATGGCATTTTGAAATCCATTCTAAAGATGACTGCAGGGCCGAGGACCACGCACCCTCCCTGACGGCTCCGGGATCAGTACCGGGGGCTGGGGAGCCCCACACATCGCCTTCCGTGCCAGGGCTGGAGTATGCGCCTTCGGAAAGCATCAGTTTTCCAAGGAGGCTTGATGTTCCGAATCGTACAGCAATACGTCATATTCCGCAGTCACAGAAACTTACTTCAGAGCTGATTTTATCTTTTCAGAAGGGATCTCTTCCCGGCTTTCGCTTAACATTTAAAATCTCCCGATATTTTTCCAGCTTAGGGGCCAAATTCGATTTTAATACAGTGATTATTAGTCTAGAAGCCCTTCAGCCACTGACAGGTGCATTTAGCCGCACAGGCAATGTTCCGCTCTTGCTGCCTGGGTGGGAGAAACGCCCAGCGGTGCAAAGTCCCACAGCTGAGTGCTGGAGAGGGGGCGGGCTTTTAGACAGCAGGGCAGGAGGGGAGGGAGCCGCCCTCCTGGCATCCTTGGCTGCTCCTGGCTGTGCCTCTTGCAGCAGCACCCAGGTCTCACACGTGGCCAGCCGCACAGCCCTACCCACGTGTTTCCCAACCCCCAGGGGCTCTCTCAACGCCTGCCCCTGCCTCCTGCCTCCAGTGTAGTCCTGTGCAAATGGCCCACAGAGGCAGAGGCGAGGTGCTGCCAGTGGTCAGCACAGCGACTGCACAGTCGCAAGAAAGGAGCAATTTTTTTAAATCAGTACATAGCAACGTGTGGCACAGGTGCGCGCGTGTCTGAGTACCTCCATACCAGGGCCTCACGGGCAGAGCTCTTAGACCGCAAGCAGGGCCACTGTCCAGCAGAGGGCAGCAGCTTGCATGTGGAGCTGGGACAGCCCCAGAGGGATTAAGGCGGCTCACAAGGAAAGCCAGGCTCCACCACCCTGGCTTTGCCCGGGCCTGGCCCCAAGGGCCCAGGTGACGGCTGAAGCTCGCTTGCCTCCACTGGGCGGAAGTCTTTAAAAAGCTCACAAATCAGCCAGTGGCTGGGGGTGGGGGGGTTAGGGGGGTGGGGGGGTGCCAGCCTGTCACCCCAGCACTCCTGGAGGCCGAGGCAGGAGACTTGAAAATCTGAGCCAAGCCCAAAGCAGTTTGGCGACTTACCCGCTGCCTCAGACTGAAAAATGAAAGGGCTGGGGATGTAGCTCAGTGCAGTCCCTGGGTGCTGTCCCTAGTGACCATGTGCCTCACAACCAGAACTGCTCAGAAGCCATGTGATGCCTCCAGTCGCCCACTCATCCAACACAAGTGGCAGAGCAGAAGGGGCCAAGAGGGGTCCTGGACCATCCCCGAGCAGAGTAGAAGTGGCCAAACAGTCCCCGCTCCACGGGGCCCCGGCACAGGGCCTGTGCCTGACTCAGGTGCCCCCATCCCCTTCCCCTGCTGCCAGGGACTCCATGCCCAGAGGAGACAAAAGCAGCAGCTCTTGCCACAGCCCTAGAACCCCCACACTGCCTGCCCCTCCCCAACGAGCGCAAGTTCCTCCTCAACTGCCTGCCGCTCATAAAGTTTATTGCTGTTCCCTGCAGCTGCTCAGGAGCAAGACAGCCACCATACGGCTTTCTGCCTGGGAAAGATTTATTCAAGCACCTTTCCCAGAGCAGGAGGAAGCAGGGGGCACTTCCAGCCACCAGGTAGGCTCAGCCTGGCCTATGCCCTCACACAGCAGGTGGGCGGGGTTCCCTCGGCCCACCGCCGGGCCCTGCAGAAGAGGCTTGTTCAGGTTGCAGTGAGGAGCCGGTGCGGCAGGCACGCAGGGAGATGGTACAGGAGGCGAGTGGGAGACCTGGCCCTGCCTCAGACTCACTGTCCATGCACCTCAGTTTCCCTTGTGTAGAGAAGGAGGACCCTGGCGTCCAGCAGTGATTTCCACATTGTTCAGCCTTAACAGATAGGACAGAGTAGGTATGGCAGTGCTTGTAACTGTGGGGGACGGTGCAGGCTGTGCGCGCTCTGTGGTGGCACCCTTTTGAGTTTCCTCATAGGATTTGTCATAATAAAATCTTGGCGGGGGGCCTGGGGAGGTAACTCAGTAGCACAAGTGCCTGCTTGGCAAGAGCAAGGTCCTGAGTTTGATTCCAATACCAAAATATATA